GGTTCTTGTCCTTTTCCATCTGACTTATTTCACTTAGTATAATATTCTTTAGACCCATCCATGTTGTCACAAATGGCAGTATTTCATCTTTTTAATGGCTGAATAGTGTAATTCCTTAATTGGTAACCAACTTTCAGCAATTAATCTATTTGCAATAAAATTAGTAGTTGAGCCCTGGCTGGTTTGGCTCAGCGGTTAGAGTGTCGGCCTGTGGTCCAGAGAGACCTGGGTTCGGTTCCCACTAAGGGCACGTACCTCAGTTGCGGTTTGTCCCTGGCCCTGGCTGGGTTGTGTGGGTGGCAACCACTCGATGTGTCCCTTTCATGTCACTGTTTCTCTCTCTTTCTCTCCCTCCCACTCTAAACAAAAAAAGATGCTCTACCATATTTAAAATAATAATAATAATAATAATAATAATAATAATAAAATTAGTAGTTGAGAAAGCTTTCCTTTTGTAAGGCATGCCTGGGCAGTCCCTTCCTCAGCTGTGGTGGTCTCTTAAAGCCATTAGTTTACTTTTTTTGGTTTTTTTAATTTTAGTTTTTATTGTTGACATTATTGCAGAAGTCCCCCTTTCCCCCCCTCTTTACCCCCCTCCACCCAGACCCTCTTCTCCCCTCCCTCTGGCCCTAACCACATTGTTGCCCGTGTCCATGGGCTATACATATGTGTTCTTTGGCTATTCTCTTCACCCTCTTTCATCCTGTCTGCCCTGCCTACCTCCCCTCTGACGTCTGCCAGTCTATACCATGTATCCATGACTCTGGTTCTATTTTGTTTGTCAGTTTATTTTGTTCATTAGATTACACATAGAAGTGAGATCATATGGTATTTGTCTTTCTCTGATTGACTTATTTCACTTAGCATTATAATCTCCAGGTCCATCCATGCTCTTGCAAAAGGTAAGAGTTCCTTCCTTTTTACAACTGCATAGTATTCCATTGTGTAAATGTACCACTACTTTTTTATCCACTCATCTGCTAATGGGCACTTGGACAGTTTCCAGATCTTGACTGGTTTACCATTGTAGGCAGTAGATGTTACAGCTATTTTCTCTTTTGTAGTTGGGAAACTGGAGACCATGTTTGTTAGAACTACTACCCAGCAGTTAAGGATGTGAGCTGTAGTAAACTAATGGCTTTAAGAGGGTTTGGGCTGAACCCTTGGTTAGTGACTTATCTCCTATAAAAGGAAAGTTACTGAACCTCTTTAAGCCTCAGTTTCTTCATCTGTAACATACACATAATACTAGTTACTAAAATTGTGAGAATTAATGAGATACTGAGTACTTATCTGGCACATAATAGAAGCTAAGTAAACCTTGGCTGTTATCATAGTTAAAAGCACACAGTTGAAGTGGAATCTGCGATTGACAAAGAGATTGAGGAGGGCTTTGATTGACATGCACAAACTTGGACCTATCTGTTTTTATTGCTCGGAAGTCTTTTTGATCTTGGTTTTCAGCAGTGTTCTAAATAGGTGAGGTTGCTGAGTGATCTGTGTTTGGATGAATAAAGTCTTGTTATAATTTGTGTAGTGGGATTCGAGGCAAGGGCTCACAGGCCTTTAATGATGACTGCAGAATACATTTTCTTGGATGCTGGTGTTTTAGCAGCAATGTATATCTTACTGTGTTGTTCTGATCTCTCCTTTCCCTGTCTGCAGTTTTAGTAGGAAGCTGAGCACCTTATCTTCTCTCCTCTCCTATCTTTTTGTCCATCTGTTGAACTTCTGCACATTCCTTACAAGCCACTTCCCCAGAAGCATTGCTTGAACAGTCTTTCCACCCTATCTTCCCCCGCTGGTCCTCTTACAGTTAGGTTCCCTCTTTTGTGTTGTAGCCCCACATCAATACCTTTATTACAGCATCTGTCATAGTGCATTATGATTGTACAGGGTGTTGGTGTTGTCTGTTCTCCCAACTGGACTGTAGCACCTGTTTATGGAGCACTCAGTAGGAATTCATTTAAATTATCTTTGTCTCATAAATCTCCTCCTCCCTTTCCATGTACAAACCTCCACTATCTTCCTCATCCTCTGCTTTAAAGAAATACATACATCTGTGTATGTATATACAAATATATATTTGACTTAGTTTGGAAATGACAAGGCTAAGAACGATGTGGGTTTTTTTCTTGTTTTTTGTAAGTGAGTTTCTGCTTGTTGTATGTGAATGGCCGGAGGGTGGAGGGGTATGTGCCTCTATATCCAGAGAGGTCATGTAGGGGATGTGGTGGTAGCAGCCGGGGAAGGCCATTCAGGAGGTTGTAATCACTGAACAATGGCTAAAATTCTATGAAGATTTCTGGCTTGGAGGCTTCATACATCCTCATTTCACCTAACACCCACACACTTGAGGCAGTAGATTGTAGTTCTGATATTTGATGACTCTTGCCAATTTTGCGGTGAGGTGGTAGCTATAACATTGGTTCCTAGTCCTTTGACCCTGGATGTATTTATTGTATGTTGACATGTTGTGTGACATGATTCTGTTAATCTGTGGTTTAGAGAAACTTGGGTACAGCTTAGGCAGGGAGAGACTAGACAACCCACCCATTGTCAATGCAGGTTACCTAAATCAGTAATACTCTTGATGACAATCAGCAGAAACCCACTGTAGCTAACTTATACTAACAAGGGGGTTTACTCTAAAGAAACAGGTGTGATTCGTGGAACTGTGGGCCACAGGTGTGTGGTTGGACCTCACTGAAGCCTGGAAAGCCATGGGAGTCCAGGCCATGATTGTTTGTGTTTCTGGGGATTGGGCTGTTATCTCCACGTAAACTCTTTGTATGTATTATTCTCTGCAGGACAGCTCCCTCTGCTTCCCCATATGTGTGGCCAAATCTACAAGTCTAGTTTAAGGCCAGCTTTATTAGCTTCTGTTAGCCCTCCAGCCAAGTTCATAAGGGAGATAAAATGACTAGCCCTTTGTGGGACCCCATGCAGTTGATGGGGAGCAGATGGTTCAGGACATGAGGGGAACAGGGGATAGTTGTATGGGGAAAGGGAGTTTTGGGTAGAACAGAATCCTAAAGGATGTCTCCTGATTGCTAAAAAAAGAATTCCATTAACCATTTCAAGAATTAATATAGGTGGTTTTGGATAGTGTAAATTCTTTATCATCAGATGATAGATACTTCTGTGGACATGGCAATAGGGTATCCTCTCCATGCTGGCTTTATTGTTTGAACTGAAATCCAAGCACTCATCAAGATGATTGCTAGAGTTTTCTAACAGCTGATTGAATTTAATGACTAGCTTTGCTCTCTCCGCAGAGAAAGATGATAGACCTGTCAAAAATAATTATGCTTTAATGAAGTTCTTTGCCAATGACAGATGGTAAAACTCTCGATGAGAATTTCTAAATTACCCAAACACTCTGATCCCTTAGGCATGTGGTAAGTCCTGAGTGTCTATAGAGGTGACAAGCTCCCGAGATAATCTGACACCCCCCAAGTTTGGGAAGCACTGCCTCAGAGGAACTTGATTCCATCCTGGGATGGAAATTGAGCCACCTCTCAAATATACCTTGCTCAAAACAGGTTCTCTGAGACAGCCATGACCTTCTTCAACCTCAAGATGGACTTTCTAACCTCTCCCTGCCTTAGCTGTACCCAAGTTTCTTCTAATGTTATATTTCAGTCTGAATTAACAACTTCAGAAAACTCGTACTATCCAGAGCCTTCTGCCAAAAAAACAAAACAAGGCAAAATAAATTCCATTTGTATTTGTTGACAAAACAGGTTGTGTCTTGTAGAATTTTCCAGAGTCACGATTTGACCAGTTGCATCCCTGTGGTGTCATTTAACATGTTTCTCTGTCCCAGTGTTTCTTATAAATTGGTAGATTGACATAAACACTCAAGCAGACAGAGTTAGCTGTTTTGGCAAGAATACTTTGTGGGCCCTGGCCAGTTTGGCTCAGCAGTTAGAGCGTCGGCCTGCGGTCCAGGGAGACCTGGGTTCGGTTCCTGTTAAGGACACGTACCTCGGTTGCAGTTTGTCTCTGGCCCTGGTTGGTCATGCAGGTGGCAGCCACTCGATGTGTCCCTTTCACGTTGATGTTTCTCTCTCTCTCTCTCTCTTCCTCTCTCTCCCTCCCACTCTATCTGAACAAAAAATGGAGGAATGTCCTTGAGTGAGGATAAAAAAAAAACAAAAAGAATACTTTGTGGGTGGTGTGGTAGGAGGCCCACCATGACTCCCTTCTTGTTAGGTTAACAGCCATTAACGACTGTTGCTTTGGTCTACTAATTCATTAAGGATTCCTAATTATCTTTGAATATTCAATAAACACTGAACCCAACAGGAAGGCATTTGAAGATGTTTTTATTGAGAAACAGTGACACAGAACCTGGCCTTAATTCTTCATGAGAAGTGATTGTAACCCATGGCACCGTCTCGAGGTCTTGGGTGACTTAGAATGGGCAAAGGGTATTCCCAGCAGTCTTTACTGGTCCTGATATGCCACAGAGTAGAAGTATCAGTATTGAATTTTCTAATTTTTTACTATTTTATTTTTTTACATTGAGAGAATTGACTTGATACATTCATATTTTCCTATTCTTTAAGCCCTTTCCATAAGTCCATTTTCTCTCTAGAATATACAATCTTTTGCTTGTAATCCTTGCTTCTCTCTGGAGGGGGATGGGAATTATCCTGTGAGATGTCTTCCATTCTCTTTCTGACTCTGAGCAGCCTTACTTTGCTGTGTGACATTTGATTCTTTAGATTGGGAGTGCCCATTCCTGTCCCTCGACCTGGGACAATTAATAGTTGTTAGTCCTAAATAATTAGTTTAATACATTGAACTAATTTGTTGGAATTTTCTGTGGTCCTTCAGTTAAAAAATACTTAAAAAAAGTAATTAGCTTGTCAAATAAACAAAAAACTCCTGAGGGTATATATTTTCACGTGTACTCTGAAAGCATGGCTTTAAGTTACTCATTTTGAGCCCTTAAACAAGTAAAAATATTACCCTTTGCTCTTCTCTTTTAGGAAATTCACACAAATGAAAAGGAAGTAACTGAGAAGGAAGTAACTCTTCACTTGTTGCCAGGTAACAGTCACGTAAGCAGTTCAAAGCCAGTGATAAATTATGTCATTCCTACTGTCTCCATGTGTGCCTTTGTTTTCATCCAGACAACATGTAACAGTAATGAGTAGGACAAAATAGCAAGGTCTTTTGTTCAGTAATTACACACCTGGGACTGAGTATTATGACATCTGTAAATAATTTTTCTTCTTTTCCTCTCCCCAAGCAGATGAAAATAAACCTGGGAAATTTTCACCTCTTTCACAAGCAAACGAGGCCTATTTCAGGTTTGCCTTACTCGGCCCCATTCAGTATTCTATTCTGGTCCTCAGTCAGGAAAATCCTGATCCCCCACACTCTCTTCCTGCTGCCGTAGCTGCCCAGGCTTCCCCAGGCTTCCCCAGGCAAGCCTTGGTGGGTGGCCTCACCTCTTGTCTCTGCTTGTGCATCTGAGCACCAGAGCCAGCGCCATGCAGGGCGGCCTGGGCCACCAGGGCTTTGCCCTGTGCTCATCACCAAGGAGCCTCGATTGGTGGTGTTTTCGAGATGGGGGAGAGTGAATCTATAGCTTGAGTCAAGCTTTAATCATTTCTGAATTCAGAAACAGAAACCACTTGGTGGTGTGTCTTCTTCCTGTATGGGGCTGTCCTGTGCACTGTGTATTCAGGTCTTCCACTTTCTTTTTTCTGATCCCAAATAGCTTTCTAAAATAAGTTTTTAAAGGTGCATTTTCCCCCCAAAATAGGGGCTCATTCTGGTACTTTTTATTTTATTCCATTCCATTTTATTGGGAGAATATGAACATGCACAAATTTCTGGCTGGTCCACCTTATTTGGTAAATATATTGGGATTCTATAACTTTTTCTTTTTTAAATTTTTTTATTGTTTTTTTTTAGAGAGAGGAAGGGAGAGGGAGAGAGAGATAGAAACATCAATGAACAAGAACATCGATTGGCCGCCTTTTGCATGCCCCCCACTGGGGCTTGGGCCCACAACCTGGGCATGTGTCCTGATGGCGACTCAAATCGGTGAACTCTTGGTGCATGGGTCGATGCTCAGCCACTGAGCCACACCAGCTGAATGATTCTGTAACTCTTTTAAAAGTGATTTAAAGATTTTTTTAAACTGATTTTTAGAGAGAGAGAAGAAGGGAGAGGGAGAGAGAGAGAAACGTCAATGTGAGAGTGCAGCATTGCTTGGCTGCCTCCTGCACACCCCTGCCAGGGTCCAGTCTGCAATCTGGGCGTGTGCCCTGATTGGAAATTGAACCAGCAGCCTTCCGGTGCAAGGGATGATGTCCAACCAACTGAGCCACACTGGCCAGGGCTGGGATTTGATAACTTTTTAAAAAAAGTTAAGTTTCAAAGGCTTTTTCCTATAATAATGACCTAAACCTTACTCATATACCCTACGGTCTTTCCCTTTCTTGGATTCTAGATTCCAAAAATAATTTATTTTTTTAGCTTAGTGTTACATACATTCTCCCTTCCCCTGGGTGCACAGCTGTGAACTCACAGCTAACTTCCCTGAGCCCAGTTCCCTAGACCAGACTCAGATCCTTTCCAACTCCCATGATTCAAGACTCTGCACACACAGCAGATGACTGAGACACAGCACGCCCTGCGTGCACAGCCTCACCTGGATGTTGTGTCGGCCACTGCGTGCCAGCTTCTGGTGTCCAGTGCATGGCCATGGGCTGGCAATGGCTTGCCTGGTCTTGGCGAGAGGTTCACTGTTAAAATCTGTTTCACTCCAGGGGTTGAAAGCACAGGAAGCCTTGCTCACATGTCTTCCACCTTGGATTTAGCTGAGGCATTTTTTCTGGGACTATTTTAAACCCTAGTGAGGCCCTGACTTCATTGTTTTCTTCAAGCTCTGTGGTCTCTGTAGAGGCTGACCTAGTGACAGCCATCTTCCAGTATTTCCTTAGCAATTAACCCCTTGGAAGATGAAAAACATACCATAATATGTGTCCCTTGATAGTCTCAGTGTCTGTAACTTTTCAGTTTACATATTGAAGGTTAGACTAAATGAATTTCGAGTCAAACATTAAATTCAAAGACATTGAAGGAAATAGCCAGAGGGAGATTCTGAGGGGAAGGTGATTTTCTGTTGGAGGAGAAGAAAGTCCTTTTCTTTTTTGTTGCATAATATTTACACTTAATGTTTCATTTCCCCCATAACCTTCTCCTTCCCTGCCTTCACCCAGACATCCAGCCCTGATGCGTTTCTCTGTGGGAGCAGAGAATGCGCATCGACCCCTAACTCCTGATCGTTTTGACTGTAGAGGGAACTCCGTCTCCAGGAAGTGTACCTTTCCTTGTGGGCTGGGTGCTGCAGATAGAGCCGGAAAGGTGACACACTCGGAGGAAATAATCTCAGCTAAGAAAGAGAGGAAACAGTTTTTTTCCCACAACCTTTGACCTCCCTTTTCCTGCCATCCTTGTCTGTGGAGCCAGAATCAGTGTGGTCATGCTGCAGCCTCTGCATCTGAGGAAGCTGCCTGAAGCCCTGGGACCCGGGGACAGTCCCTTCCAGCAGTTCCAGAGTGGGGAGTAGACCACTCGCTGGGAAGGGCCCGAGACCTACATTCCGGAGCACACTGGCAAGCCCTTCTGCCTTTGCTCATCAGGGTATTGCTTCTCTGGAATGTCTGCCTTGGTCCAAGCGATAAAAACCCTAAGATCTTATGCTTGCAAGTGTAGCTGAGGTCATTCCCACCTCTTTGGAAACTTTTGTTACTCACAGTGAGAAGATGGAGAGGTGGCCTGTGTGAAGGTGCTTCTGAGCCCTGTGTCTCACTTCCCAGTGGCCTCCACTCTGCCTCATCTTCTACTTCCAGTTTTGCAGCTTCTGCCTTGTTGAAAAGTGTCCACTTCTGAGTGTGCGTTATGTTGTGTGTCGGTTTTGACGAGAGTACAGCTGGGGAAGCTTTCGCTGCTCACACACTGTATGTTCCCTGAGGACTCAAAGAGGACTTGTTTGGTTTCACCCAGGAGAGCAGCTGCTTTGTGAAGCCAGCACAGTACTGAAGTATGTCCAGGAAGATTCCTGTCAGCGTGGGATCTATGGGAAACTTGTCTGCACAGACTTCAAGATTGCTTTCTTGGGCGATGACGAGTCTGCACTGGATAATGATGTATGTCTGAGCCACAAGGGAGCAGTGCAGTTGTGGCCCCGGTGTCTTTTTCCCAGCTTCTCAATTACCCCGCCCCCAGCACACACAAACACGGAGGACAGCCTGCTCACCACTAGTCTGCTCTCTGTCCTTCAGGATCTCCTTCCAGTGGTAGGACCATTCTAGAAATTTCTGCCCGTGCCTCATGTCACACTGGCTTGCATTTGACTTTATAGGCTGGCACTTTTCTTATTTTCTTCTGTATTTCATCGCAGTGTATATAACACATTGGAATCACTTCTCCCCAAATATACTGGTGCCCCCACCTCGTTTTCTCTATACAGTAGCACTAGCCTCTTTCTTAAATTCGGGAACTAAGTTTAGTTGTGAAACTGATGCTGAATGCAGCACTTGAATTTAGGTTTGCTCTGCACCACCAAGCGGTGGTGTCTTTGTAAGACGTGTCCTGCTTATGAAGACGGAGCAGTGCAGTGAGAGCCACACCACTTGGAGAGCACTGGTCATTAATGGGAGCGCAGCTGTCCTGGCCCACCCTCGCTTCTTTACCAGCTGCACCTTGGCCGTCTCAGAGCCTGGGCTTCTGGCTGCTGGTCGCCGCAGCGGCTAGCTTCCTGCTCCTGGAGGGACAGCTTTTACAGACACGAGTCTCCCAGTGTTTTCTTCCTGCGTAACTGTCACTCACCTGCTTGCATCTGTATGGACAAATCATAACCTGCGTGCCACTTCCCGGCACCTCTCAAAGTGGTCACATGTGGCATGGTAGGTTTGCCTAGCAGCAGCCAGGAATGGCATGTCCCGCCTGGGTTTGCCACACAGTGATCACTGCTTCGCTCACTCATTCCCTCACCTCTTCCCAGGCATGTGGCTCCACTCCCTGCTTTCCTTAATGTGCGAGTGGAGAACAGTGACTGCCTTCTGTTCTTGTCTAACAGTGCATAGAAAGGAGTCACAGTTGTTCCCTTTTGGATCTTTCAGGAAACCCAATTTAAGAATAAGATTATAGGAGAAAATGACATCACACTCCACTGTGTTGATCAGATTTATGGAGGTAAGTATCTGTTTTTCCTTGGGGTATTGCGAGCTTTTGAAAGTGTAGCTGATAATGTTTTTATGTTCTTTTATAGTTTCCTAAAATTTCTTCATGTATTTATCTTGTTCAAATCAGTTTTATGGGTGATAAAATTGAGATATGAAATGGCTTGTTCGGGGTCACGTAGCTGGAGGAGCTTGGCCTTGAACTTAGAACTGTTCTCTCTAACACTCCACGGTGCCATTGGATAGATTTTGGTCATACTTGTTGCTGCTGGTGTTGGCCGCGTAGGTTTTACTGGACAGGCTAATCTGATAAAGGTCTTGTGTCCTGCATGTGGGTGTCTTCTCTGCTTTTAAGTCTCTCTGCTCCACTCCTCCATTTCTGTAAATAGACTTTTCCAGAAATCAGTCACTAGTCGTTTATGATGTTTCTAACTCTTGTACGTGCTGTGTGGTCCAAACTCTGGGAGATGGAGGGAAGTGGCAAGAGGGGTCCCTAGCCATAAACCCAGGAGTTGACTTTCCCCAGTGGTGTCCGTCCATCTTTTGTAATCTCAGCTTTCAGAGCTGGGTCTTCTGCAGGTCGGTGGAGTCTCCTGACTCCTCCTTGTGAGTCGAGCGCTTCCTCCAGGGCAGTGAGGAAGCCTGAGTGTTGTCGGAGAGCCAGGGCCCTGCCAGGTGGGACTGGGCACTGCCAGCCGTTACTCAGAAGATGGCACCTTTCCTCTCGTTTCTGAGAGCTCGCCTTCGAAGCTAATAGCACACCTTGTTTCTTTAGCGTTAACTTGTTGTAACATAATTTCCCTTCCTGATTTCATCATTTATCGTGTGTTCAGTGTTTGATGAGAAAAAGAAAACTCTCTTTGGACAACTGAAGAAATACCCTGAGAAACTCATCATCCACTGCAAAGACTTCCGGGTATTCCACTTCTGTCTGAGGTACACAAAAGAAGAAGAAGTCAAAAGGGTAATTAGTCACATGTGTTTTTAGGCTATATTTCCCATCAGGTTTTCCCCACTTTTTTTTTTGCTTACATTGCATGAAAGTTGAGGGGAGCCTTTTACTCTGTAGAGTTGAAATTGTTTATAATCCCATGTGCTTTGATTAGACTTGAGAGAAATTTAGTGAAACATGCCTGTGTATATCTTGGCACATGCTACCTTTAATGCTTCAGTCCCTGTTTTTATTCCTGAAGCCTCTAAAGGATGGGAGGTGGAGAACCAGGGTCAGGAGGCAGGGAAAGGGAAGGACGGAACAGCTCGAAGCAACCCTCCTCCCTGGCCCCTGGCAGCCTTTGCGGGAAGCAGTAGCAGTGACCAGCTCCTGGATGGACGAGCTTATTTTATATCTGGGAAGTAGTGGAAGCATGTGGAAGGAGGAGGAGATACACAGGTCAGATGGGCAGAGCCGAGTCACCAAGTGAGCCTGTGCTTTCGGACACTTTAGTAAACTGAATCCGGTTGCCACAGCAAATTAAGATGAGTAACTGGGTGAACTGGTTACAGTGGTCATTGTGACTTCTGAGATTTCTCTTACTGAGATGTGGAAGGTGTCACACTTGCCACTCTCATAAGGTGCAGCAGGGGAAGCCAGGCAAGAGGCCAATTCATCTGTTGTCTTTGGCTCTGGTGAGTTATGCACACTTACAGGCAAGTCCTTGATTTTCTCTTAGGTGGTATGGAAGGTCCGTTAGACTAGTAAACCTGACTCCTAGGGTGTGTAAACCTACAGTTTGCTCTGAGCAGAAGAGTGGTGTAGATAGGGAGTGTTCCCAAGAAGCCAGGTGCTGCTTCTATCCAAACATTCTTTTGTTTGGAATCTCAAACAGACAGCACAATGGGTTGATTTCTTTCTTTCTTTTTTTTTTTTTTAATTAATGAATTTTCTTTTGTTACAGATGTTTCTTCTTTTCCCCCCACTGATTCTCCCCTCCCCCTCCCTCCCTTCCCTGTCCCCAGCTTTGTTGTCCATGTCCATTGTTCATGCATACAAGCATATAAGTTCAGTGGTTTATCTCTCCCCTACCACCCCCTCTTCTGAGGGTTGTCAGTCTGTAACCCACTCCACGTCTCTGGGATTATCCCATTCCTCAGACTGTTATGTTCATTATATTCCACAAATAAGTGAGATCATATGATACTTGTCTTTCTCTGTTTGGCTTGTTTTGCTTAGGATGACACTTTCCAGGTCCCTCCATGTAGTGTCAAAGGATAAGAGATCTTTCTTTCTTACAGCTGCATAGTACTCCATTGTGTACATGTACCACAGCTTTTTTATCCATTCGTCTATTGATGGACACTTGGGCTGTTTCCAGATCTTAGCTATTGTAAATAGTGCTGCTACAAACATGGGGGTACATATATTCTTTCTGATTGTGTTTCAGGCTTCTTAGGGTATATTCCTAGAAGTGGGATCACTGGGTCAAATGGAAGTTCAATTTTTAATTTTTTGAGGTAACACATATTGTTTTCCATAGTGGCTGCACCAGTCTGCATTCCCACCAGCAGTGCACTAGAGTCCCCTTTTTTCCACACCCTCGCCAACACTTGTTGTTTGATGATTTGTTGATGGCGGCCATTCTGGCAGGTGTGAGGTGATACCTCATTGTTGTTTTAATTTGCATCTCTCTGATGATTAGTGATTTTGCGCATTTCTTCATAGGTCTCTTAGCCATTTGTATGTCCTGTTTGGAGAGGTGTCTATTTAGTTCCTCTGCCCATTTTTTAATTGGATTCTTTGTCTTCCTTGAGTTGTATGAGCACTCTCTATATATTGGAAAGTAACCCTTTATCTGATATATCATTGGCAATTATGCTTTCCCATTGATATCTTTTTCTAATCCAGAAGGAAGTCCTAAGGGCCACAGATGGGTCAGAACAACTAAGTGCTGATTATTATCTGACATTGGCTGTATATCTTCAATGTCAGATCTGTAGAGTATCTGAATATGGCACTGGAGATTTTTGTAGCACTTAGTTTTTTAGAAACTAGACCATGCTTTCAAAGTTTCCCTAGAAATTAAAATCTCGTAGAGAACCTGACAACATGGCTAGCATTTGTTTATTTGTCATTATTCTAAGAGAACGTCATGGGTGCGGACCTGAATGAGAGTGTTTGCATGCTGCCCGTAGGCGCAGTTAGCACGACTGAGAACTGAGACGACTCGGTGTTCACCTGCCAAATGTGACTGTCATGTTTGCTTCCTTTCTAGATTGTCAGTGGCATAATTCACCATACCCTGGCTCCTAAACTGCTGAAACGATTGTTTCTCTTCTCCTATGCAACTGCTGTGCAACACAATATGGGTACGTGGCTTCTGGTCTTAGTTTGTAGGTGGGCGGACCTTCCAACTTCTCCCTGAAATTAGTGGGAGAAAACCCACCCAGGAGGCATTTTCTCTTCTTCTGTAAAAATTGGTCACTGTTGCTTGGGTAACACATTCAGGTTTCTTTTTTTAGAAAAAGGTTTCTACTTTATTTCCTGTGATCTTAGTTGCTTTCACTTATCTTTTAGGTTTGTTGTCTTTTTATGAGGGATTATTGGTTTCGTTGTTTCTTTTTTTTTGTTAATCCTCACCCAGAGGATGTATTTTTCCATTTTTATTTATTTATTTATTTTTAGATAGAATGGAAGGGAGAAAGGAGAGAGAGAGAGAAACATCGATGAGAGAGACACAGCAATTACTTGCCTTCTTCACAACCCCAACTGGGGCCGGCGATCGAACCTGCCACCCAGGCAGTTGCCCTTGATCAGGAATCAAACCCACGACCCTTTGGTCCGAGGGCCCATGCTCTAACTGCTGAGCCAAACCAGCCAGGGCAGTTTTGTTGTTTTATGAAAGTTAAAATCAATATATTATAACTGGAGATGTGAAACTGTAGAGAAACAAAATTGAGACAAGTTTAAAATAGCCCTGTTTGTCCGTGGGTTCTTTTTCTACTTTAATATACTTGATTTTCTTCTGTAAGACTCTAGAGAATGTCTTGCATTCTAGAATGTTTTTTTGTTTTATTTATTTATTTATTTTTTAAATCCTTACCCCAGGATACGTCTTCCATTTATCTTCAGTCAGAATGGAAGAGAGAGAGAGAGAGAGACGCACACATTGATGTGAGAGAGGCACATTGACCGGTTGCCTCCCACATGACCCTGACCAGGGCCAGAGACTGAACCACAACCAAGGTACATGCCCTTGACTGGAATTGAACCTGTGAGTCTTTGGTCCACAGGCTGATACTCTAACCATTGAGCCAAACCAGCCAGGGCTATTTTGTTTTTTTTTTTTTTGTTTTGTTTTTTTTTTTGTACAGACAGAGTGGGAGGAAGAGAGAGGAAGAGAGAGAGAGGGAAACATCGATGTGAAAGGGACACATCGAGTGGTCGCCACCCGCACGACCAACCAGGGCCGGGGACAAACTGCAACCGAGGTACATGCCCTTAGCGGGAACTGAACCCGGGTCTCTCCGGACCGCAGGCGGACGCTCTAACCGCTGAGCCAAACCGGCCAGGGCTGTTTTTTAATGTATATATTTTTCATCCTCATCCGAGAATATGTTTTTATTGATTTGAGAGAGAGAGAGAAACATTCATGTGAGAAAGAAACATCTATTGGTTGCCTCCTATATGTGCCTTGCTCGGGGATCGAACATGCAACCTAGGTATGTGCCCTGACCAGAAATCTAAGCCGCCACCTTTCAGTGTACAGGACAATGCTCCAACCAGCTGAGCCACACCAGCCAGGGTTAGAAAGTTTTTAAACAACCAGAACATGCTTTATAGCAGATATTTTGGGGGAAGTGGAACAGTTGTACATGAAAGAACACATCAGGTGACAACCAGATGTTTCATGGAATAGCTTGAGAGGCAGTATCTGCATAGGAGTCAGAACACCTGCGTTTGAATTCCAAGTCCATCAGTTATTAGCTGTGTGACCTTGAGCAAACTACTTAAATTTCCTGTCTCAGTTTCTTCATCTGTAAATTGGAGATAAAAATAGTACCTACCTCACTGGGAAGTTGGGAAGATTAAATTAGGGAATAGACATCAAGTACTCAGAAGAGTACGTGGCCCATAGTAAACCCTAAGGGTTTGCAGTTAGCATTAAAAAAAAAGAACACATCAGAAAACTAGCTTGGTTAGAAAACGTTTTTAAGATTCCAAATATTTTCCATTCAGTTCACTGAAAAAGAGAGCAGTCTTAACTAAGAAACTTTGGTCATCTGAATTAGCTATTAATAATGCCTAGCATTATATAGTGTTTCCACAGATGTCTGTCTTCTTCCTTCTTTAGATCTCTCCCCTCCATCTGTTCCCTTGCTGTTCCCATTACTTTAACAGGAAATTGATGTTTGGTGATCCTGCATGCTCTGTGCTTCTCGTCAGGGAGGTGGCACGTTTCAGGCTTTCTGGAACGCAGTTGCTTTGCACTTACTGCTCGTTCAGTGAACACTGCCGAGTGCTCGCGGTGGAGCAGGTGCTGGAATGTGGAGGTGAACAGGACCGGCTCCCTGCCCTCCGAGCGCATCATGTCAGAAGCCATGTGTCCTCTGCTGGAAGGGGCTGTGGAGCAGGAGCAGGAAGTGCCCGCCCACCCTCGGTTGGGGGAGGGCTGTCAGAGGGCGAGGACTCTGCTGGAGCTGATATGGAGATGTGGGAATGTCTGGTAGGCACAGAGGGGTATTTTAGGCAGAGATGGAGACATCTGAGAGAGCAAGTTGCATTTTGGGAACTGTGATGATTTAGAAAAGGTATGAATTTTGGAGTCTGTCCCACTTGAGTTCATATCCTTGCTCAGCTGCTTACTAGCTGTGTGATCTTGAGGCCTCTGTTTCTCATTTTAAAAACCATTAGTGTTAGTGCTTCCTTTGAAGTTTGTGAAGATTATAAATTATTAAATGTGTGACACAGGGTGCAGTCATTAAATGAGGGTTAATTGAGAGTATAACTGCATATTACTCAGGACATGTTATGTTCAGAGAATTACCTTGATGTAAAGTACAGTCAGCACTACTATTAGGCTGCACATGAAATGTGTTTCTTCATTCAGTAAGGTCATCATTGTGAATGACAGATCTTTTCATGGTAGGTATCTGTACAAACGCTGATTAACTGGGTGCTGGCTCAACAGCTTGTTGAGGTATGAGACATGCAAACTGTGAATTTGTTGATTACAATAATTTATATAAACATGTATTGGGTTTACATTTGAAAAATCGTCCTCTAATTTCAGGAGTTCTGCTTCTTCCATATCTCCTGAGTCTTGGTTCGGGCCCAGCATAGGACAGTTTCTCAGCTGGCCGGCATGTCACTGTGTGTGCTGAAACGCTTCCCTTGATCGAGCTGCAGTTTTATTACTTTGTGGTGGCTTTTTGCGCCAGAAGGCCCCGGATATGAAGCATCTTTTATTCTATTTTAATTCCATCCTTCTTTTCTCCTTCCAAATCCCAATTTTTGATAAGTAAAAGTTATAACAGAGAAATGTGAACTAATCAATTAACTTTTTCACTGAGTAGGGGTTTGTAGAGCTGGCTGCTTTGCAATCTGAACACCTTTAATTCTCAGGCTTAATACTTCATAAATGTGCTCTGTTTGCCTGGCTGCTGTGGCTCAGTTGGTTGAGCCTTGTCCCATAAACCAAGACGTTGACGATTTGATTCCCGGTCAGGGTGTGTGCCTGGGTTGCGGGTTCAATCCGCCTCATGCAGGAAGCAGCTGATAGATGTTTCTTTTTCATTGATGTTTCGATCTCTCTCTTCTCTTCCTTTCCTCTCTCTCTCAAATCAGTAAAAACATATTTTTTTAAAAATGTGCTGTGGATGAAAGGTCTTCCTAAATGCTTATGACTTGACATTTTAGGGAAGGACCTATTTGTATTTCAAAGAAGATGATCTGCTATGCTTGAATTGGAGTATTATTAGTTTTGTCCATGGGGACATTTTTTTTTGCATTTATTACTTTATGGACATTTTTTCATATTTGCCTAGATTTGAACTCCAGTTCTGCCATTGCCCAGCTCTGTGACCTTGGGCAAGTTATTTGACCTTTCTGTGCTACATCTGTAAAATGGAGGAAATAATAAGGATTGAGTTCATCTTATAAGCTATTTAATAAATCATTATTCTTATTACCATCCTTTGTACATTGATCTGGTTTTATGAAAAAAGAGCAGGTGGGGAGTTTTTTTTTTTTATCCTCACCCGAGGATATTTTTCCATTTTTTGTACAGATAGAGTGGGAGGGAGAGAGAGGAAGGGAGAGAGAGTGAGAAACATCGATGTGAAGGGACACATCGAGCGGCTGCCACCCGCACGACCAACCAGGGCTGGGGACAAACTGCAACCGAAGTACGTGCCCTTAGTGGGAACCGAACCCGGGTCTCTCCGAACCGCAGGCCGACGCTCTAACCGCTGAGCCAAACTGGCCAGGGCAGGTGGGGAGTTTTATCAAACACTTCAATTTTTCCAGAATGGCTTGTTTTTTTTAGATGTGCAAAGGCTTAAACTAACCAATTTGTATATAAATACCCATAACTGCTGCAGTGCTGTGGCCTGGGAGTGGACCAGGGGCACATCTGCTGAGCTACAAGAGCAGCACTCTTAGGCATTCCCTTCTAGCAGGTAGAGGCAGGCAGGGGCAGGGCTAACAGTGTCGGCGCCATGAAGCAGCCGTTGGCTAGCAGGTCCTGGCCCTCCCATTGGCTCTGATTTGCTTGCGGCCTTCAGGAACCAGGCGCCACACTGGAAAATCCTCTTGCTGGCAGGGTATCTTGAAACTGAAGGAGGATTTACATTCAGGAGCCTGACATGCTGTTCAGATGCGTTTGCCATCCTATGCACATATTGGTAGGGCTAAAAATAGTGTCTTAGGCATTTGTGCTAAGCCTGTCTTTCAGTGCCTCTCAGGATCTTTTCATGTTATATGAATTATCTCATGGTCAGGTGACTAAAAATGGAGCTGTAATTACTTTTGCAAGGATGGAACTAGAACAACTCCTTTCCTCCAGTGTAAAAAGACAAAGCCTCGCCTGGCTGGAGTGGTTTAGCTGGTTGAACGTCATCCTGTGTGCCAAAGGGTTGCCAGTTGGATTCCGAGTCAGGACATGGGTTACGGGTTCGATCCCCTGTCGGGGCGTGCATGGAAGGCAACCGAGTGATGTTTCTCTCCCCACCCCAAGCATGTCCTCGGGTAAGGATTGAATAAAAAAGACAGAGCCTCAGTCATAATTTTGAATCAGTGACAAAAAAGAGGAACAAGGTTAGGATCAAGCAATGAATTCATCCTGCTTGGATAGAAATGGGCATAGTAGAGGAAATTGGGGCCAGAGGATTCACTTTCATGTCATTGACAGGCCTGAGCTTCACCACAAGATGTTATTGTCTTTTTACATTTATTTTGTTAGCCACCAATCCCAAGAACCATACTGTGATGTTTGACACACTTGAGGACTGGTGGTGGGAGCTGGAGCGGACCAAAGGCAGCATGAAGTACAAAGCAGTGAGTGTCAATGAAGGCTACAAAGTCTGTGAGAGGTAAGCTTTCAGCGCGGTGCTTGCAAAAACAGCTCTTGAGGTTTTGTTTGCATGCCATAGTTTACCCATTGGAAATACACAGTGTTTTAAAATTATTCACACAGTCACTATTGTCAATTTTAGAACATTTTCATTGTCCCCCAAACAAATGTCATACCCATTAGCAGTCTCTCCCCATGTCCTCACCTCCAGCCGAAGCAACCACTCATACTTCCTATCTCTATAGACTTGCCTCTTCTGGACATTTCAGATGGATGGAATCATACAATATGTGGTCTTTATGCCCGGCTTCTTTCACTTACCATAATGTTATTAAGGCTCGTCCATGTTGTAGTGTGTATCAGAACATTGTTCTTTTTTATTGCTGAACAATATTCTGTGGTATTGGATATACTTATACCACGTTTTCTCTTGAGTAAAGCCTACAACGTAGTTAAAAGTTGTTATATTGAAATGTGTTAAAAACACCAGTCTTCTCTTACTATCTACACTTATCTAGTCAGGTCTGATGTTAGAATAAAACTCATTAAAAAAACCCACCATACTAAGCACACACAGCTTGCGGTACAGAGCTACATGTAGGGCAGGCTGTGGACATCGGGTTGCTTTCACTGCCTGGCTGTTATGAATAACGCTGCAGTGAACACTGGAGCTCAGGGTTTCCATTTCCCTTGGGTAAATACCTAGAAGTGGAATTGCTGGCCGTGTGGTAACCCTGTGTGTAGCTTTTTGAGGAACTGCCAGACTATTTTCCACAGCAACTACTCTGTTTTACATTCCCATCAGAAAGGTTCCCTTTTCTCCACACTAATACCCTTAAAGTGTCCCTTAAAACATTCAAAAGTGAATCTGACTTTTTTCCAATATTGTATCTGTAATCTACCTGTAAAAATTTAAGAGGCATTTCTAGAGGAATTTATATTGTGTATTTGCTTTCCTCTTATCAAATACTTCAGTTAATTTATTTATTCAGTAAAAATGTTGAGTGCCTACTATGTGCCAGGCAGTGTCCTGGCCACTAAAGATACAACAGTAAATAGTCTAAAAATCCCTGCCTTCTTGGAGCTGTCATTACAGTGGAAGGACAATGATGATAGAGTAAATGAGCATTTATAGTATATTAAAAGGTAACAGTGCTACGGAGAAAAATGGATCAAGGAAGGGGTTAGGGAGTGCTGGAGTGTTGGCAAGGAGGGTAGGTCGGGCAGAGGGCACAGCAGGAACAAAGGGCCTGAGGTGGAGTCTTGTCTGGCTGTGTGGGGAACAGCAAGGAGCCCAGGGGCTGGAGAGGAGTGAGCAAGGGACAGGGTAGGAGGAGGTGAGGTCAGGGAGGAGAGAGGCGCTGGATGGTGACTGCCTGGGAGCTTTCAGAAGAATTTATAATTCAGGGAGGAGGAGTTCGAGCAGGGGCGTGGGATGTTCTGAGTTACATTTTACAGGATGACTCTGCATAATTCTCTTTTAGAAACTTGAATCTTATCATTTTGGAACTTAATGCTCCAACACTCTGCTAACAGTTTTATAAATTTGTACAGTAGTCTTTCCTTATCCACAGTTTTGCCTTCCATGGTTTTAGTTACCTGCGGTCAACTGTAGTCTAAAAATATTAAATGGAAAATTCCAGAAATAATTCGTAAGAGTTAAATTTTCGTTCTGAATAGCATGATGAAATCTCATGTTTTACTGGTGATAGATTGTAATGTGACATTGGTACTGACGGGGCATTCTCATTCCCAGAACTGTTCAGAAAAAATCGTGCCACGTACTGGTTCAGTTCATTGGCATTTGCGTAGATGTCAGCACATCAAAAATACACCCGGTAGAGAAAGCAGCTCTGGGGAATCAAGGACACTGTGTCTGTTCATCATTTCAGGGTGGGACAAAAGTAAGATTACAGGTGTTCGTATGGAAAATAATACGATAATTAATAAACAATAAGACAAGAGCCCTGGCTGGTTGGCTCAGCGGTTAGAGCGTCGACCCGTGCATCAGAGACTCAGGATTGGTTCCCGCTAAGGCACGTGCCTCGGTTGCGGTTTGTCCCCGGTCCCAGTCAGGGTTGTGTGGGTGACAACGATGTTTCTCTCTTCCCCCCTCTCTCCCTCCCGCTCTATCTGAAGATAAATGCAGTGATGTCCTCGGGTGAGGGTAACAAGAATACACTCTGTTTCACATACTCACAACTGTAAGCCTACTTTTACCCTACCCTGGATGCAGTGCCTAGATTTAAGAGGGACTCGGGAAATAGGGGACGGAATGAATAGATAAATGAAAGCCCCGTCAGTAGTTAGAGGGGACGCCAATCAGTTTGGCTGAGAATAAGAAACTGAGTGTCTGCGTCACCGTGCCCAAGGTCAGAGCTGGCTATTTGAGCACCACAGTCTCTTCCTTCTGAAAGCCTTTCTCTCACCCCTCCTCCCTAGGAAGGTGTCAGAAGGTCTTCACCCTGGAGGACATGTGGCAGAGGAACCTGTGAATAGACTGATGCTGCCACAGGAAGACATTGCTGCCCTAGTGTTGTTGCTCTGGGGGTTCCCTCACCCTAACTATGGCTGTGCCTGAGCAGATCATACCACTGTCCTTGAATAGAGTCATCCTATATGTGAAGGAGCCGTTCACTTTGTATTCTGAACTCATCCTAATAACTAAAATGACTGCTGTCTGAGGAGGGAGGGTTACTTGCTTGTAGACATCAGGAGTCTCATGGCAGAGACTCCAGTGTCGCCTGTAGTTCAGTGGAATAGCAGAGGACATCTCCAACCTCCCTTCACCAGTGCAGAGCTGTCCATCTCTGGGAAACCTCTTTTTGTTGTTGTGGTGGTGGTTAATCCTCACCGGAGTATATTTTTCCATTGGTTTTTAGATAGAGTGGAAAGGAGGGAAGGGGAAAGAGAAAAACATTGATGTGAGAGAGAGACATTGATTAATTGCCTTCTGTGTGACCCCCAGCTAGAGCCAGGAATCAAACCTGCAACCCAGGTACTTGCCCTTGACTGGGAATCAAACCTGAGACTCATCAGTCCACAGGCTGATGCTCTAACCACTGAGTCAAACCAGCCAGGGCAGAGCAGCCTGATTTCTCGAGTGACCGACTGCATGGTGCATATATTAATCTGCTCGGTTCTGACATTTTCCCTCTTCAGTAAAAGACATAAAATATTAACTGGTGCCCTGGCTGGTGTAGAGCGTTGTCCCATACACCGAAAAGTGGAGAGTTTGATTCCCATTCAGGGCACATACCCAGGTTGTAGGTTTATCCCCAGATGGGGCACATATGGGAGGCAACTGAGTGATGTTTCTGTCTCTCTCAGTCTCTCTCTCTCTCTCTCCTTCTCCCTCTCCCTCTCTCTTCTTCTCTCTAAAATCAAGTAAAAAATTAAAATAGAATCAATAATAAAAAAATAAAAGTAAAAAAATTAACTGATTAACCAACTTTGTAAGACATGGGAATGTTTTAAAGCAATATGGCCCCACCCTGGCTTTGTAGACTGAGCCTCTGGGGAAGGGGCTTGGAATCTGGTTTAAACAAACCCCTTGGGTGACTCTCCTGTAGACGTGAGAACAGTGATCTGTCTGTAAGTTGCCATCTGGAGCAACTACTTCTCACAGTTCCTGTCCGCTTAAGACACCTGGGGAGCTTATTCAAATGCAGAGCTTGATTCTGTAGGTCTGAGCTTGGGCTTGAGAACCTATTTTCCTTATAAGCAGCCAGGTGATGCTGTTGCAAGATCTTGTAACAACAACTTTTTTTTTTTTTGCTAATCCTCACCCAAGGATATTTTTCCATTGATTTTAGATAGAGTGAAAGGGAGGGAGGGAGAGAGAGAAACATCGATATAAGACACATGGATTGGTTGCCTCCCACATGACCCAGACCAGGGCCAGAATGGAATCTGAAACCCAGGTATGTGCTCTTGATGGGGACTCAAACCCTCACCCCACAACCCTTCTGTCCTCAGGCCAAAGCTCTAACCGATGAGCCAAACCAGCCAGGGCATAACAACAGTTTTTGTCTTGATTGCACATCTGGAGAGCTTTCAAGCTTCTGATAGATAATACTTCTGGAATAGAGCCTGGACATTAAGTATTTTTCATCTTCCCTGAGTTTGAGACCACTGATGTGTGAAGAAGTTTTTAGTTCAGGGACAACAACATCTGAAGGGATGGCTTACTGCCCACCCACTCAAGCAGACATGTAAGAAAATGTCCCAAGCACTTCAGAACCTCAAATGCTTTATAATTCTTTTATGTTTTGATGATTTGAGGTATCTTAGCCTTGACCTGTGGTTCCCAAACCTGGTTTTACATCACAATATTATGGAGCTTTTTTCTTTTTAATTACCTTTAAGGTATTTTTAATGGAAATGTCAAGCAGCGTAAAAGCAGAGTGAATATGATGAATTCTCTTTTCACCATCACCTAGCTTCAACAATGATTAACTCGTGGCTCATCTTATTTTATTTACTATATGCCTCCCCTGGACTACTTTGAAATAAATTCCAGAACCCATCACATTTCAATGATAAATAATTCAGTATACATCTCTTTTTCTTGACTCTTTTTGGCTTTTTGTTTGTTTATTTTATTAACTTTAGAGAGAGAAGGGGAAGAGAGAGAGCAAGAAACATCAATCGGTTGCATCCCATACAGCCCCGACCAGGGATTGAACCCAAAACCTAAGTATGTGCTCTGACTGGGAATCAAACCTACAACCTTTTGGTGTGTATAGGCTGACACTCCAGCCAACTGAGCCACCCAGCCAGGACAAAGGACTCTATAAGTATAACCATAACACCATTATCACAACTTTCAAATTTAACACTAGCCCCTTAATATCATTCAGTACCCAGTGTTCAGATTTTCCCAATTGTTTTATAAATTTTAAAACAATTTACCTTTTATCATTAATTAGGATTCAATGAGATTGATATTTTGCAGTTGATAGGTTTCCAGTGTCTCTTAATCTATAGATTCTCACACCATCATATTTTGCCTGTAAGTTATTGAAGAAACCAGGCCATTTGTCTGATAGTTTCTCACAGTCTGGATTTTGATGAGGACATCCCCATGGTAATGTTTAAAATGTTGCTCCATCCCTTATGATTTGATTTGAGCCAGTGGCTTGGTCATATTCAAATTTGGATCTTTTCCTCTCGGAAAATTAATCTTTCCCGTGACCTAATAATACTTAAGAGATGTACTTCACACGTGCAGCATGCATACAAACACTATTTGATTATTTTCACTGTAGTTCTTACACCATAGGCACATTCTTATCTCCCGTGAGGCTTTATTTCAAGCTCTTTGAGTGAGAGATCCTTACAGCTCCATAGTGATAGAAGTTGGGTGACCTTATTAAAAGAAACCTGTATCTGCCAGCTAGAGGAGGATGTGGGGTCCCCGAATAGCTCTGATCTCTGCAACTCTGAAAACCTGTCTTTCCCACCTCCCTTCTTAACAGGTTGGTTATATTTAGAACCTAGATTTCTTCATGTGGAAACTGTGGTCATACTGCTTGGGGTCAGGTCCTAGCTCCACTAATGCTTACTAGTTGTGTAACCTGGGACGGGCCTTAGCAGAGCTATTTCTCAGTTTCTTGATCTGTCAAGTGGAAGTAATAATAGTACACACCTCATAGTGTTGTTGGGCAGATTAAATGGATAGTTCATTCTAAGCAATTAGAACAGAGTCTGGCATATAGTAAGCACTCAAGTGTTGTCAGAGCACTTGATAAAATGGGCAGTGGTCATTGGAATTACTGGATTTCATATTAGTCTGACTGAGAGCAACACAAGTGCTTATGTTGTCACCCTATGATGAGGATTGTCACTCTGTGATAAGGAGGATCAGTCCCAATTTTGGAAAGCACATATTTTTAGATATCCCATATTCCAATCCCCTTATTCTGTGGATGAGAGAACTGACCCGGAGAGGTGGGACATTCATCTACAGTTACACAGAATCAGGCAGAGCCAGGATCTGAACTTTGATGCCCGACTGATTTGGCTGGAGAGGGTTCATCTGTGCTGGTTCTTAACAGGGAAATATGGTCCATTTCCTATCACTCTGCTTCCTTCCTGTGTTCATTAAAGTTGAGCTTTTACATTTAGTGGATTAACTGTAGTACTAAAACTGATGACATATCTTTCTTCTAGGTTGCCAGCATACTTTGCTGTCCCCACCCCTCTTCCTGAAGAGAACGTGTCACGCTTTCAGGGTCACGGCATACCAGTAAGTGCATCTGGAAACCCTACCAGCCACGGGCTGCTCATCGGCCCATCTCGGCAAATTGTTCTTATTAAAGCCCTTGGCTTTCGTACTAAAGAGTTGTCCTCACTCCAAGAATGATCCAAAAATATCTTCGGGACTCCCTAGAGGAGCCTCTAAGACATGAGGCTCCCTGGAACGTGGTTCTAAAGTTTTCACAGATGCACTGCAGTTCTTAGCTGTAAGAGGTTACAGATCTGCCTGGTGTTGAAAGCCAGCCTGACTTACCACCCAAATAACTTTGAGGTGAGCTGACCACTCTGAGGGTAGTAGGGCTCAAGATTCTTTTTGGCCCACACCCTTAATCTTTGAATGGGTGTGACCGTGTTTTTTTCCCAGAGACAACATGAAGTGCTTACTGAGTTTTCACAGAATAGACTGGGATGGAGCCATATTTAATGTGTCACTGGTCAAAGAAAGCAAGACTTTGGCAGTCACTCCAGTTTCTAATGGGTGGTTGGGAGTTGCCAAGCCAGCAGGGCTTTAGTGAGGAACGAGAATTGCAAATGAATGTTGTGCTGTGCACACGGCTGGTTCCCCAGAAAGGTCACTCACACCTGTGCAGCAGGCGAGATGTGTGAGCAGGGGTCCCCTGCCCAGAAGCACGTGCGGGCTGGGCAAACAAGGAGCGTGGCCCTCACAGTGAACCACTGTGAGGGTGGCTGCTCCTTTGTGCCAGCAAGTGTGTGCTGTGTGGGACCATGGCCTGGTCTTGCCAGATGCCCTGATTTCTCAGGAGAAAACACAAATAGGGACTTTTATGTGAGTGAGTTGTCCTGATTTCTAAATGCATACATTTGATTCAAAGGTTTAAAAAACATGTCTTTGGGCCCAAGTTAGTTCATGTCCCACCAGTTTGCAACCTTTAATTTAGAGCAGTAGTAGTTCTCAAACTTCCTGGTCTCAGGACTTACACTCTTAAAAATTACTGAGGATCTCAAAGAGTTTTTGTTTATATTGTTGTATGTATTGATATTTGCCATATTGAAAATTAAAACATGATCAACAAACTTTTCATTCTCTGCTAAATTAAAACCCATTGTTCTTCCCTGGCTGGTGTTGCTCAGTGGTTAGAGTGTCAGCCCTCAAACTGAAGAGTCATAGGTTTGAGTCCCAATCAAGGGCACATACCTGAGTTTCAGGTTCGATCCCCGGCCCTTGTTGGGGTTGTGCAGGAGGCACCCAGTCAATGTGTCTCTCCTATATCGATGTTTCTCTCTCTCTCTCTCTCTCTCTCTCTCTCTCTCTCTCTCTCCCTCTCTCTCTCCCTCTCCCTCCCTCCCTTCCACTCTATCTTAAAAAGAAAAAAAGGAAAAATACCCTTGGGTAAAGATTAACCAAAAAATAAAATAAATAAAAAATAAAATCCTTCTTCTTTAAAATAAATAAATATTTTAAAAAATCAGTGGGAAAAACACCCTCAGGTGAGGATTAACAACAAAAAATAAAATCCATTGGTCTGTTTTGTGCTTTTAATGGATCTTAAAACATACATGATTTTAGTCCAGCTGGTGTGGCTCAGTGGATTGAGCATTGTCCCATGGACTGAGACGTCTCATTTCAATTCCCGGTCAGGGCACAAGTTGGGGTTGTGGGCTCGATCCCCAGTAGGGGGCGTGCAGGAGGCAGCTGATTGATGTTTCTATCTCTTTCTTCCTCTCTCTAAAAAATCAATAAAAACATATTAAAAAACAAACCCACAGGTGGTGGCAAATATTTCTTTAAAAAATGCATTATTTTATAACATACATTGGTCATCTGGAAGATATCGATTCACTAGACAATATAGATTGCCCAGATGTTGATATTTCCTTATATAAGAATTACATTCATCAATGTCATTCTATCTCATCAGTAAAACCTTTAAACATTGGGAAGCTGTCCAACTAAAAAGGCAGAGACTAGTTTTCCAAAATCCTAATGTTTACTTGAAAGTTCAGTTTTTATCATTGGTGACAATTTATCATGTGTTTTCCTTCAAGTGATAAGCTCACTTCATTTATTTATTTATTTTTAAGAATGACTGTTTGCCATTTACCAAAGACTGAACAGCCATAATTTGTCTATCACACATTCTTTCAATTCCATAGAAAAGCAGCTAGTCCTCAACTCAGTTGCATGGCGCTTTTCCTTGAGATAAGTATTGTGCTTAGGTGCCTACCTCCTATTCCATCATGCAGAATATTAAAAAGACATGTAATGGTCAAGATTAATACAATTAATACTTTTAGTCCTTCATTAAGCATATTGTCAAGTGAAACCAGATGTATTTTCTGCAAGCGTGTGGCAGAGAACTTGGGTGACCAGTGTCATTTGGTGGCAGGCTGAGGCCTCGACTGCTTCATCTACCAACAGTGCAAATGTCAACACAGTGAAAAGGACAGACTACATCTTGGTGTTATTTTCAGAACACCTGCAAGGGTCTGGGTTCCCCATCTTGGATCTGTAGACTACATTTTGAGAATCACTGTTTTAGAAGAATGAAAATGAGGGTCTTCATCCTTCAGCCTTTCATAGATGCATCTAGGAAAAGAGGGTGTGCTCTGTGGGAAGAAACAGTGATGCATGTCTGCACACGTGGGAACAGGTTGCTTCCCCATCTGCACTGTATGTACTTTTGATGTTCTGTGTTCTAGCCAGGCCTTGGGCTGAGCAGCAGAAAATGTTCTAGAACCTGAGTCAGGAGTCAGCAACATAACTTGGGTAGAAACTATAGGAAGGGTTCTCATTTTATTGGGTCATCGGTCCTGAGAGCATGAATGGACAGCCGAAAAATATTACATGGCTGGAATTTATATATTTACTCAGGGAACGCAGAGCTCTCAATACACATAACATAACATTTACCACCAGTGACAGTATATTCACAGTCTTGTGCAACCATTACCACTGTCTGGTTCCAGAACATTCTGTATCTCCTTGCTTTCTTACCCTGACTTTTCACCTGGTGTTCTTTCCTGCCTTCACTTTTTTTTTTTTTTTTTTTTTGGTACGTGCCCCTAGCAGAAACGGAACCCGGGTCTCTCTGGTTTGCAGGCCAGCGCTCCAGCCGCTGAGCCAAACCGGCCAGGGCTTTGCTGCTTCTTCAGGGAAGCCTCCATGGTTTGCAATTTCAGTCACGCTCTTGCTGCCGCCATTCTAGAGTCGTTAGCCTCCAGCCCAGAGTACTTACTGTCACTTTGCTGTGGGGCTCCTGAACACTGCTGTGGATTATTCACAGAAACAGCACAGCACATGTGGGACACAGGAGGACCCTTTCCTTGCCTGGGATGGGTCCCAGTTCTGCTCAGCTGTCTGATCTGTTACTTAACTCCTTCTGGTGCCTGCATTCTTCCCTGGGGCTGCTGTGAACGCTTTTTCATTCTCTCTGAGTCTGTGACTCCACCCTGAACTGTTACACTCAGAGACTACCCCCTCCTTTAGTGGGATCTTGGACAGCAAGACCTCCCTGAGCTTCCTTCTTTTCTACTGCCTGCTGTTTCTCTGTGCTGCTTCCTTCATCTAGGCTCTGGGTCTGGGTCACACCTGTCCTTGCTTTGTCCGGAACCTGCTTCCGCCAGTCTCTCCGTTCCACGTAGCCTTTCCGAAATGTCTGCTCCTCTTGGGGACATCCTCAGCTCTCCCCGAACCCGAAGAAGCCCTGCCTTAAGAGTCAAACTGCCTTGTTCTCCTTTCCTGTGCTTTAACACACTTATAGAGGCTGAACTCACCTTCGCTACTGCCCTCATTCTGCTGATTGACCCTCCAGAAGGCACTGTCCCTGTGCGGCCCGGTTCCCCGTGCCGTCACCACGGTTTGACACTGATTATGTCTCCTTTTTGCCTTTTGAATTCTTGTCTTGGCTTTAAAAACACTGCCGTCTCGGTCCACTTACCTCCTTAATAGTTCCCTTCCTTACTCTGCTTTCTAGCCCCCAGTTGTACGTATTCCCCTAAAACTCTCTTTGGCTCTATTAAGAGAGACATTGTAAAATGTATGAAATAATGAATAATTTCTCCCCTTCCTTTTTTTTTTAGATAAACAGACTTTGATTCTTGTCTCTTGTCAAGTCATTCATACCAAGAACCTTGTGGCCCTTTCCCAGATAGAAACAGTACATATTACAATAGGAGAGGACATGTGCTTTTTGCTAGATTCCTGTGAGAAGTCTCTCCCTGACCGAGAATTTTGCTTGTTTTCTGTTTACTGTTTCAAATAGAGGCTAGTCAGAGAATTGCCTCTTAGCTCCTCAGCTGAGCTAAGACAGTTCTGTTTGTGCCCCAAATAGAAAATGAGCTGTGGTTGAATCATCAAGAGCCACCCTTTCTGCTCCAGGAAAGGAGATAAAAAGGATCTAAAACACTGTTTCTTAGAACCTGTCACCCAGTCATGGCTAAGAGTGTCTCCCCTTTATCAGACTGAGCTGTGCCAACTCGGGCACAGGACTGCTTGGGCATTCAGAATATTGCTGCCTTTGGCAGAAGACAGAAATTGGTGGTGTCTGCACATTGCTTAGCATGACATTGGAAAGGGAATAAGGGGACAGCAGAGGGCCCTTTGAATTGAATCAGTGTCCTAACACTTCCTTCTCATTGTGAGTCTTAAAGAGTCAAAGTCCTGCTCGGCCCTCGGGGCAGTGAGTGCTTTTCAGCAGTTCTGTGTCCCTCTGCCCTCGCTCCCTGGCAGGGCTCGTGTCTTTTCCATGTCAACTGGCAGTCAGCTCTCATGTCCAGAGCTCCAGCCCTGCCTTCATCTCCTAAGCTCATAAACCTCATCTGAGGTGCCTCCTGAATATCGTCACACAGATGTCCTGTTGGCACTAGTCGCCCAACATACCCGGTACTGATGACATCATTGTCCCCTGGAACCCCAGACTGGTTCCTCCGTGACTTTCTTAGTGTAGTGCAGAGCGGCACCCGGATGATGTGCTCATCTCGTCTCCCGGCCCAGGCTGCTGCCAGCTTATCGAGTGTGTGCTTACACCTTGCAGAAGAATGGCAACAAGGTGCCCCTCTGGGCAGCTGGAATCCTCTAGGTCTACCTTTGAGCCAGGCTCGGTCAGCAGAGCAGGGGTTGCGCTTAGCCACTCTTGAACCGTTAGCCAGGCCTTTATACCGGGCATGATGTCCATAAATGAACTCAAGGGCCCCAAACAGCCTCACCCTCTCCTCCATTCCAGGCTCTTCCGCCAGATTACTTTGCCCTGGATCAGTTCTGATCTCCTTTTGTTCCTGAAATGCAGAGCAAACAAACAAAAAACAAATGTAAATGCCTACTGTATCCAGAAAAACATGAACCTGTCACCGTGGTCATCCATATGATTTCTTCCTCCTTTGCCCTTCCTTTGTTGTTCCTTGAAATTCTCTTCTGTGGTTGACCACATTCTACTTTACTGTATTGGTAACTTCTTTCCCTGTTAGAGTGTAAGCTTCTTGAAGGTAGACACAGCATCTTAGCCCTCTTTTTTTTGCATCCTCTCACAACCTAATTCAGTGCTTTGCACTTATGAGTCTCGTATCAATATGTGTTGACTGGCCAACTCTCCATCCTTTCTAGTGTGAACCTCCTGTAATGACAGGAGCTGCCCACTTCTGCCATCCAGGTAAAGAACGCCCTTTAGACTCAGACTGCTGTGACTGCAATGTTGGGAACTTGCCTGGTCTCTTCAAGCCTGTTTCTTGTTAATGGGGATAATAATCATACCTGCCTCAGTGTGAGAATTAAATGAGTTAATTCATGTAAAATCCTGACACAATAGCTTCCCTTCAGCAGTAGCCACTGTTGTTGGCTTTAGTGTTGTCCCAACATTAAAGGTGTATGTTAGACCACAGGCAAGTCTGAGCATGTCGACCTAGACCAGTTTTGTTTTTTAAGACTAAATCACTTTTTCATTGTAACTATTTCTTAACTTAGAAAAGTTTGAATGTATTCAAAATTTTGTATTGAACTTATACATTTCCCTGTATGAATTTAAGTGCTAAGCTTACCTCTTCCCTGTTGGGTTTGTACATTATATTTGGAAAACCTTTATTTCCCTCTGCAGATATGGTGTTGGTCCTACCACAATGGATGTGCCCTTTTGAAAATGTCAGCACTGCCCAAAGAACAGGACGATAGCATTTTGCAAATCCAAAAGAGCTTCTTGGATGGGTCAGTACTGTTAGACATTTGGTTATTGGTCATCTTCGTTCTTGTTTTCTGAGAAGCAGGTAACAGTTTGTGGTAGTGTGTCCATTTCTGTTTACCTCTGATAGCTTAGTGCTCCAGAATGCGACTTAGAGTGATGGTTTTAGTTACTTTGAAAGGAGTATAACGTATTCATTAAGAATGTCGGCTGCATTGTTTTTAGAGATGCATGCTGAAGCGTTTGGGGAAGTGGCATGATGTCTGTAATGTTCACAGTTGTCAGATCTGTGTCATGGTACATATCACTGCTATTCTTTTCTATTTTTCTGCATGTTTGAAAATTTTCAAAATCAAATGTTAAAAACAAAGTGCATGAATTAAAAACAGAAAAGGCATAGACTTGGAGTTAAATTGCCTTAGTTCAAATCATGGCTTAATCGGTGTAGAAACTGCATAATCTTGGGCCAAGAAATTGTACTCCACCCACCTCTGCTGCCACTTGTGTGGATTGGCACAGGTGGTGTGTTACTTACCTCAGTGGTGAGGAAGAAATGGGTGGGCACCTCCAAAGCTCTTCACACAGATCTTGGCACAGAGTAAGTGCTCAGGAGAAATAAGCCATTTCTAGTTCATGTCTGCCTTTCTAATCTCTCATTACTTTTGATACCTAGAATTTACAGGATCATCCACAGGCCACCCTATGAAATTGTCAAAACTGAAGACCTATCAAACAACTTCCTGTCCCTGCCAGACATCCAGACCGCATACTCTAAGTTTAAGCAGCTGTTTCTGATAGGTGAGAGGAATGCTGTCGCACGGGAAAGACATAGCACGTGGGTCCGGTGCAAGTCGGTCCCCTGTCCCTCGGTTCCTGTGGTCGTGCGCAGAGTACCGGTCGTGAGGCCAGTGCCGTAGAGTGGAGGGCAGCTGCCAAGCGGCGGTTGCCGTTGCCACACTTCTCCTCCATTTTCCTTCAGGCTTCACCCCACTGCCCCTTCTCCCGGCAGTGACACGGCCGCCGCCCTCCTTTCTGCACACGCTGGTTGCCCGGCGCTGAGCACTGGGCTTCTCCGTGTACAAGCTGCAGAGCTGTGCAGTGTCTGAGCCCACTGGCCGGCCTGCCGCGATCCAGCAAGTGAATGATCTTTTTGTTTTCTTCATGACTTATTGGATGGACTCCCCCCACCCAGGTGGAAATATTTTACTTTTTTTTTCTGATTGAGTATATACAGAAATGTAAAAAATTTCAATTAATCAGAAATGTACAGAGTAGAAAATGAAATCTGCCCATTCCAGCCACCCTGCGTCCCTGCCCACGCTGCCCACTATGAACAGTTTAGAACTTGAATCATCTTTAATCAACCTCAGTTGGCTATTGATTCTTTTCATTCTTGAATGAAATCCTCTGGGATTTGTCATGGTTACAGGTAACTTTTTCTAACTTGGACCTTGTAGCCTAGCAAAACCTAACCCATTTAGGATTCAGTCATTCATTCGGCAGACATTTACTGAAACCCCATCATGTGCACTATGCAAGGCACATGATAAAAATGATATGACACCCAGGGAAACAGAAATATACACCTCTGATAACTGAAACACGTTGTGTTATAAAATCGATTTATAAAAAGTAGGGGCCTGGCAGAGAGAGAGAAATTTTACTGGTTGAAACAGGACTGTGACTCTCCACTTTTGTTTTCATCATTCAGGATCTGCAGGGTTATCTGCCTTGATTTGAATTTGCAACTTTGAAGTAGTAGACTTCTGTAAAATGCAGGGCTCTCTGCGTCAGGTGGGTTGGGGCATTGCGTAGTGGTGTGTGAGGTGAATGCATTTGTGTATTTAGGATTCCAGCAGAAACCGGGTCCCCCCCTTGGGCCTCGTGGCATAAGGATGTACCCACTTCTAGGAGTAGTAGCCAGGATTTTGACCCATCTCTGCCCAAAGCATGTTACTCTCCTTGTTGAGCTACAGGGTGGACCGTGGCCCTGTATACATATTGTAAGCACTTTTTATTTGAGCAGTAAAAATCTGTTTTTGACTGCCATACCCTTCCAGGGCCTTATAGTTCAAAAACCATTTCAGCTGAAGTTTGAAAGACCCTTTACTTAAAATGGAGACTTGTGCCTGGGCTCGCACTTGAACAGCATGGTTGAGGAGCACTGTTTTTTTGTGGCAGGCGTGTGAGTGAATCACCTGACTTCTTTTCTTTTTCTTTTTTTTCCCAGATAACAGTACTGAATTTTGGGACACAGATATAAAATGGTTTTCTCTGTTGGAAAGTAGCAACTGGCTTGACATCATCAGGTATTTCAAGCCATTGTTTTTTCATGAATATTATAGTTCTCTAATTCAAAGCAGTAAAGCAAATTGACAAATAAATCAGGTGTTTTGTATTTCGCAGTTAAATATTCTTAGATCACATGTTCTAGTCAGGGATCACAATTTCACATGTATTATTTTTGACGTCTGTGCGCACGTGGTCAGCATTTACAGACATGCTGCCTGCTCACCAGGACTCACCTGCGCTGAGAGAAGCAACGGGGGGCAGGATGGGACGCGGAGGGATGCTGCTGTTGTGCTAAAGACCTTTTTAGAAGAATTCTGTGTCTTATATGTATATTACTTATTTTTTTTTAATTGTAAACATAATTAATGTCAATTTGTCATTGTGGGATTTAGAATTCGGTTGAGATTCCCAGAGAACAAAATTACATTCCCTTTTGTACTTCATATTTTGAATAGCTGCACTCTGTTGCCATTACATGGAGGAGAGCGCAGAGGAGGGAGGCACAGAACAGAAATGGGGGTCGGGCAGAGAGAACAGCTCCAATCCTGGAGAACCTGAAGGGCAGAGCAGACTTCTCCCTCGTGCCTGCACGCATCCTCTCAGCCCTGCCTGTGGGGAGGAGCCTTGGCCCTCCGCACTTACCAACAGAAATGTTTCAAAGAGCCCACTGCATGTCTCGTGCTTGGAATATGTCATTGCACACAGTGATGAGTGTCCTACAGGAACCTTTCTTTCTGTGGGGCAGAGAAGGTGGAGTGTCCTCAACCAGATGAGTCGGGGGCGGAGGAAGCACCACTGCAGGTAGAGAACGGCATGTGCGAAGCCCTGGTTATAAGTCAAAGCTGCCACCAGCAGCGATAGTCTCAGGGAATAGTGCGTCTAGAGACACACACAAAGGATTTCGGGGCATGTTGGATCTTTTCGGCCACACTGACCACTCAGCAGGTGACCTTGAATCAAACACTGGACGTGCAGCATACTCCAGATGTGGGCCTTGGTGGGTCTCACTAGGACACACCAGCAGACTCCGGCCTCAGTTCTCATTGAGGAGTTCTAGTTTAGAAATCATCTAGGAGCATTTTTACATCAATTTTGGGATTTCCTTCTGAAAATGTTAAGTTCCTAGGCAGATGAGTGTCTTGCAGTTTCTGAATAGTATAAATGGTAATTTGGGTTTTTTTGGAGGTTTTAGCAAAAATAAATAAGATAGAAGACTAGATCAAGTCAGACTATCTCCAAATTTCTTGTTGATTCCATACAAGTGCAAGAAGAACTAATATCCTTTTTCTTGTCTCTTTTCCATTTAGACGTTGCCTGAAAAAAGCAATAGAGATTATAGAATGCCTAGAAGCACAAAACATGAATGTTCTTCTTTTAGGTACGAAGTGTGGTTTTCATTTTCCTTCACTTGAGACTCAATTCTTCAGATACAGCCTGTGTGGCTGGAAATGTCCTGTACCAGGAATGAAGTCGTGTAGAAATCCTTCCCGGTCCCTCCTACCCTGACCTTGGACTCCTTTGCATTGGGTTTCAGTGTTACAGTTTAAAAATAAATTCTTTCACTTGGAACTTGGCAGGTCTCTTTGCAGCCCAAGAAGGAATTGTTTGGTCTCTTTACCAAAGCTCACATTTCCTAATGTTTGGGATTTTGTTTTATATTAACTCAACTTGGTTAAGTTATAATCTTTGGATAATCCCTTTTATAGAAAGAGACCCATGGATAGTTTAATTGTTATTTTTTATATATTTGTGTTCAACAACCTCATGTAGTTGCCATAGAAACTTTGTGGTCTGTGATTTCCTTTTCCTCAGTTGGCTTAACCTGCTGTATGTGAGGACAGGACACAGCCCTTCACAGTGTGTGAAAGCACGTGCAAACACCACGCCATGAACATAATGCCGGAACTGGTTAGGTATGAGCTAAAGTAACATCTGCTGTTGAGAATAGTGTAGGTTCCTTGTAGTCCTGCATTTCAAATCGAGTCAATCGGCTCATACTTTCCTACCCTCAAGCTTTTATGACTTCTCTGACACGCGCTCCATGACTGCTGAGATTTAGCTTTTGTGGGCAAATTGGACAAGAGTCCGCCTGGAGCTCCTGTACCATCTGATGCTGGCTCGCTGGCTTACATTGTGATACATTTATTGAGCACCTACCCTGTGCGGAGCTCATACTTCTGCCTTCTGAAGTCTGCAACCTGATGGGAGAGTTTGCCTAAGCATGTTACTGAAAAAGACACAACTAGCACCGACAGAACAGAGTCGGGAGGAGGGATAAAGATTGGGGGTCTGAGAGGTGCATGTCCTCAAGGCCAGACTGCCCAGTCGCCTAAAATGCAGTGCAGATCCGTGGCTCATGTGGCTGAGACAGCACTTGCTCTTAGATGTGAGTTGTCTCCCATCTGGAATCTCATTCCCAACCCCTCTTCCTGACACCCATGGGTGTGCTAGCAACACCTTCAGATGCAGGAAAGCAGGATCCCTCAAAGGGGAAACATGCTTCGAAAACTGATAGCACTAGAAAGACAAAATTGAAAATCTGTTTTTTTTTAAACCCATGTATTCACGTGGTTTAGGTCTCTTCCCGGAGGAGAGAAGGAAGCACGAGTGACGGCCTGGCCCGCGGTGCTCCGTGGTCTGGCTCGCGGCGAGGGTTTGAGCAGTGTAGGCGCCTCCCCCCTTGCAGTCCACCTCAGTTTCTCTAACCCTAGGACCAGCCAGCACCCTCGTGGACACTGTAAATAGCACCTCGAATTGCACTTCTTTTTGTAAAGAGGAAACCCTGGGGATGTTAGACCCTGACTTTTGGGATCTCAAAACATTAAGACAAATGCTTGGATGTAGATGTATGTTTTTATTTGCTATGATCATAAACGTTAACTAGGCATTTGAATGGAATTGTCATCGTATGGGTTTTGTACAGCGCACTTCAGGGGTGAGCGCGGAGAGCTGCTCTGGGCCAGGCAAGGAGCAGCCCCTAGACGGAGAAAAGCAGCTGGGCCTTGAACAGTGAGTTCAGTGATGGAGAGTTTGACACACCAGCTCGAAGGGTTTTGAGCTGGGTCTGCAGGACCCAGCCGGTCACCGTTTTGTGTATGATCCAACCTCACGTGTGGCCCGTCTGGGTGCCCACATGCTGACAGTGGATTTGCAGTGCTGTGTCTACTCTTTCAGTAAGCAGATCCATGTTTCGTGCCAGTGTATGCTGGAACCTGCTAGGCAGGCTAGAAAGTTTGTCTCCGTCTAATGCCCTTGTTTTCAGGACCTAGAGCTTAACTGTCCATAGCAGACCTCGGTGTTGGGGACCCTGCTATTACTGCGCAAGTGGGAGTGCTCTTTGTAGGTTCTTAACACTTCATACCCCCCTTCCTCCTTGCATTCCTAGAAGAGAACACTTCCGACCTCTGCTGCCTCATCTCCTCGCTGGTGCAAGTGATGATGGACCCTCATTGTAGAACCAGGGCTGGATTCCAGAGCCTTGTCCAAAAGGAGTGGATCATGGGCGGGCACTGTTTTCTGGATCGCTGCAACCATCTGCGTCAGAGTGACAAGGAGGAGGTGAGTGTCTTCATGGCAGACTGTTTAGTCATGGAGAGAATTGCCTGATCTCTTAATTCCTGTCCTCTGAGGTAGGGTGACTGTTGACAAAGTGCACACTGTACAGCTCAGTAGGAAGGCTGTGTTCAGCTCACCATTTGATGACTTTGAATGTTTAAACAACATTGAAACCTTTCCCAGAGGAAAGAGTTATTAGCAGGGGTATTCAGAGTGTGCTTGTGTTCAGAGTGTGCTCTTCAAAATTGTGTACACCAAGTGTGTGTATATATTTCATGGTGGGAGTAATATTGATTTGTAAAACTTAAATAAAAATTAATTCAGTGAGAGACTCATAATTTCTATTAAGTTAGTCTTTACAAAAAAATGAATATTCAGGGTACAAGTCTCCTATAGGAAATACATAACACAGCCGGGTCGGTGTGGCTCAGTGGTTGAGTGTCGACACATGCACCAAGAGGTCACCAGTTCGATTCCTGGTCAGGGCACATGCCCAGGTTGTGGGCCAGATCCCCAGTGGGGGGCATGTAGGAGGCGGCCAATCGATGTTCTCTTTCATCAATGTTTCTATCTCTCTCTCTTTTTCTCTCTCTAAAATCAATAAAGATTAAAAACAACAAAAAAAGAGAATACATAACACAAAATGAATTTTTCTTGCACACAAACCTTTTCAAAACAAAACATAGGGTGATGTTAACACCCCCCCCTTATCAGGGCCTTGGTGGTGTGTCCTGAGCAGTGCCCATGGCTTCTTCTGCCTCTGGCTGTGTGAATTGCTTGAGGCTGGGCCTTCAAGCCGAAACACAGGAGTGTTAGTGTTATAGTTCTGCTGGTTCTACTTGTCTTGGCTGCAGCTATTCAGGCTCTTTGGCTGTATTATTAATGATTGTGGAAGGAAAAATGAAGACGGGCCCTTTCTTTAATTAAATCACCTGCAGTGCTACCGTATGCTGGTACGTGACTTGTGGTTTTTCTTACTCCAGAGCATAAGCAAGTCTGTCAGCGGTGCTGAACAGCTGGGCCTTGGCAACAGGTCCCTGTTCCTGGGAGACCCAGGCCTCTCTCACAAGGCCTGGAGATTTCTTTCAGGCTGATCCGTATCTCTTTGAGCTGAATGGAAATCACCATCTTTCATTCTTGGAATGGACCTTACATTTCTGGGAAACTAATTTGAAAGCTTATGGGACTCAAATAATATGGTGGTCAGAGAGAGCTGATACTATGTGGGGAAGAGTGTGTTTTTATATTTGAGAAAATAGGACAGAAGGCACTGTGTCTAATAGAGAAAAAGTCCAAGAGAATTTCTGATCTGCTGTTCACCCAGTCTTTGGAGAAGTCACTCATACTTTCTGACCCCATTTCCCTGACCGCATCATGAGGTGCATATATTTTTCACTCTATCTAATGTTACTGAGCATAAAATGAGCTATGAAATAAAACTACAATATAAATGTTCCTTAGCGTCTCAATGTTGACATGTAGAGTTTTGAAGGAAAACTGGGTGGTCTGAGTCATAAAAGACGCAGCACTGGACTTTGATTCGGGAGTTGGAGTTCAGACTCCTCTCTCTTGTGAGCAGTGTGTGAGGCTTTGGCCAGCTCTGGAAGAGACAGGCTGTAACATGGCCTGTCTCACCCACCAGCAGGGTCACTGGTGGCTCAGGACAGACACTTGGTGAATGACAAAGCACCCTAGAAAACTACTATCTCTACTATTATAGGGCTTGCCTCTCGTGGCTAGCTAATAAAGGAGGCCATCAGTTTAAAGAACATATTTGTGAAAAAAGTATTAGACTCTGGCCGGTTTGGCTCAGTGTTAGAGTGTGGCCCACAGACCAATGAGCCATGGGTTCAATGCCGGACAAGGGCATGTACCTCGGTTGCGGTTCATCCCCGGCCTTGCTGGGGTCGAGCCGGAGGCAATCCAGTTGATGTGCCCCTCTCATGTCGATGTTTCTCTCTCTCCCTCTCTCTCCCTCTCAGGTGAGGATTAAAAATATGTATCTATATTAGAAAGGTTTTTAAAAATTATTTTTATTTTTATTGTATTACAGATGTTCTCCCCTAATTTCCCCATTGATCCCGTCCTCATAGAAACGTTTTTCTGCATGTACCTTCTCTCCTGTCCTGTCTTCTGGGCTGTCATTGTTGGGGTGGAGAAGGGGTATTAACAAAATTCAAAATAATTGAATATAGTTTTTTTTTGTAATAAAATAGACTAAGAGGAAGGATGGAATTCTTTGGGGAGAAGTAACATTTTACTTAATTGGGTTCAAAGTTACTATTTCCTGTCATCAAAATCACTGCCAATGCTCATCTGTTAATGCTGATTGATGGAGAAAAAGATGGTTCATCATTTTTTTTTTTTATCCTCACCCGAGGACATTTTTTCATTTTTTATTCAGATAGAGTGGGAGGGAGAGAGAGGAAGAGAGAGAGAGAAACATCGACGTGAAAGGGACACATCGAGTGGCTGCCCCTTGCACGACCCAATCAGGGCCGGGAACAAACTGCAACCGAACCCGAGTCTCTGGACCGCAGGCTGATGCTCTAACCGCTGAACCATACTGGCCAGAGCTTTTTTTTTTTTTTAATTTTAAATTGATTTTTAGGAAGAATGGAAAGGAGAGGGAGGGATACATATATAGAGAGAGACATTGGTGTGAGAGCGAAACTTCCACCGGCTGCCTCCTGCATGACCCCTGCTGGGGATTGAGCCCAAAACCCAGGCACATGCCTTGGCCGGAAATCGAACTGGCAACCTTTTGGTGCGTGGGACAGTGCTCAGCCAGCTGAGCCACACTGGCCAGGGCCACGTGGTTTATCTTTCAAACGTCACACGGATAGGTACTTCCGAATGTTGATGTTTATCTGTGAGGGTGTGATTTCAGTTACGCATACTTATCTCTTGGAGTGGAATGGAGTCTGCTGTGTTGTCCAGAGACTGTAGTGCTCAGCAGTGGTAGTTCCACGGCTGTTGACAGGGCTGTCCCTGAACTTGGGCCAGCTGGCCCCTCAGTGCCCGCTCAGTAACGTGTGTCTTGTTCTCGCGTAGGTTCCCGTGTTCCTGCTCTTCCTGGACTGTGTCTGGCAGCTGGTGCACCAGCACGCCCCTGCGTTCGAGTTCACGGAGACGTACCTGACTGTCCTGTCCGATAGCCTGTACATACCTATTTTTAGCACCTTCTTCTTCAATTCGCCTCATCAAAGAGAAACTAACATGGTAAGAGTCCCTCTTAGGAACCTGTGTATTGAAGAAGCTGTGTCTCACATGCAGATTGCAATATAATGATGATAAAAAGTGAAATGGATTTAACACAGACAATGTATGAGGCCCAGTTCTGAGTGCTTTCGGGGTACTGATATTCAATCCTCACAGCACCCTGTGGATCTGTGTTATCATCATCCCTGAGGAGCTGAGGCACAGAGAGGATAAGTAACTTGCCCTCGGGAACACAGTATATATTGGAGGTAGGAGCCAATGTTGGAGCTGGGGGATTGAACAAAATTAAGAGTTGTCCTTTGTAAAGACAGACCAGATGCCTTCTCCTCGTTTGCCTGATGCGTGGAGTTACTCTGAAGAGAATGGAGATGAGGCAGAGCAGGAAGCTGGGCTGGACTGCCTTAGTCTCTGAGGCCGTGCTGCTGGGGTTTAACTCTGGCCAGCCTTCTGCAGGCAGGGGGTTGGCTTGGGCCCACCCTCCGTGAGGGATTCTGCCAAATCCCACGGTGGAGTGAGACTGAACCCGGGTTTCCAGTCACTCAGCCCTGGTTTCCAGTCCCGGCCCTGCCGCCCACCAGCTTCATGGCCTCATACAGTTCACTTCAGTTTTCTGAGCCTCAGTTTCCTCAAATTTAAAATTGCAAAAAGAATAATGACTTCACAGGTTGTTGTGTAAGTGCCCAAGACAGTGGCTGGCATCTGACCTGCTGGAAAACGATGTGTCCTCCCCTTCCTCCCCCTGCAGAGCCTTAGTGAACTGCCCGGAGCAGTGAGATGCTGGGAGAGCTCGGCCCCAGGGCCCGGAGCCCCTTCCCGGAGCCCGTCCCCATTGTGTTTGCTTCCCGGCCCTGGCGGAAGCCGTCCTGACCTGTGCTTGTTTTGGCAGGGTAGGGAAAGCCAGGACACACAAAGCAAGCCTTTGAGTCTGCTCACCGTGTGGGATTGGTCTGTACAGTTTGAACCCACAGCCCAGACGTTGCTCCAGAATCCGCTGTATGTGGAAAAGCCCAAAATGGACAAAGGCCAGCGGAAAGGAACACGTTTCAAAGTAAGGTGCCCACATGCATGACCCCTTCACCTGCCTGGAGCCCCCATGTGTGGAGGGGCAGACGTTATGTGGACGCTAGAGACAGTCTGCAGAGCTGAGATCTGTGGCAGGCAGACTGTCTGGTCCATGAGAACCCTTTGCTTCCAGCACATCAGCCTTTGCCCCCTGAGACATGGCCATTTGCTGAATGTCACTGGGAGTGCCGCTGCCTGGTGGCCGTGTTGCCTGGAATCGTGCGTCTTCCCTGTGTGGCTGGTGGGGTAAAGGGAACGTTGAGCATGCGGGCTTTACTCTGTGCCAGTTCGTGTCTTCAGTAGCGAGACCTTTCCCCCGGAGAGGCACCTGTAACTCTGTCATGGCCTCGAAGTGTCTGGCGCAAGCGCCCGCTCTCGCAGAAGCAGCCAGCTCGGGAGCACACGGGCGTGGCGCTGTTCCCGTGTTTGCAGAAACGCACGGGCCAGGTTTGGCCCTGTGCTGGAAACCACAAATGTCAAGTTATTTGGGTTTCACTTAGGTTCCTGACTCTACCAGTTAGTAAATCCCCGCAGTTCCCTAAATAATAAATGATTGCCATGGCATTTCCTGGCTCTGTCCCCTGGCCGGGAATTTCTCCCCCACAGACCCCACAAAGGGGAGAACACTGGGCAAATCCCAAGTCAGTGCTTATCTCTGCCTTCTCCACCGCCCGTACTTCTGATCCCGCCTGCCGTGAAGGCTGCAGGGAGCCCGGCTGGCTCTGGTGTGGGAGGTGGCTCCATCTGGAGGCTTGGGGAGCCAGGTGCGCCAAAGCCTACTTGAAGAAGGTGCCAGCTGCTGAACAACTTCGAGCTGCTGCTTGGCCCTTTGGAGGGTCCTCACGCCCAGGGTGGATGTTCCCCCACTAATTTAACCTCTTTCCTGCCAGCTGGACCAGAACTCCCTGAGCTCCGGAACTGCTTGGCCAGAGGTCAGTTTTTCCTCCTTGTGCTGTGCCCCCTGGTGGCTGCATGCACACTTCTGGGGAGAGCTGGGTTAGGATCACAGAACTGCCCCAGGCCGGGAATGAGGGACCTCAGACATGGCAGGGCCCAACCCCTTGCACAGGAGGAAACTGATACTCCGCCTTGTAGGACTGGATTGCATTTCTCTGCCCTGGTCCAGCTTTCCTAACTGTCCCTTGTCCCCTTCGGTAGGAGCAGACAGCCTAGGCTCCAGGAGCTGACCGGTGGGAGAGGTTTGGACCAAAGGGTTGGACCATCTCAGGTTGTACTAGATAAGGTCCAGGTGGGGCAGAGGCAAGGAACTTGGAAGCTTTTGGGTTAGGAGACCAGATGTCAGGCTTGGGCCTCTTGTTGAGTGGATGGATGGCCTTGGAGTTCTATAGAGACTGAAGAGGCTGTGGCTGACCGGTATGAAGCGCTGCTCTGTGAGTGACCACAGGACACCAGAGGGTCTGCGCAGGTGTGTCATCGCGACCTCAGCCTCAGCCCTGACCAGGCTGTAGGCATTGGCGCTGTCCCCACCTGGCTCATCTTGAACACTCTCCTCACCTAGACGGTGGAGAGAAGGGGCTTCCAAGACAAGCAGAGTTCTGTTAGGAGCCCGTGCTCTGGAGCCAGGCTGTCTGAGTGGAACCACCTCTGGCAGTTGGTAGCTGGGGCCTTGGTGGATTTCTTAATCTCTGTGCCTTAGTTCCCTTATTTGTAAGATGGGCGATGGCAGTGACTTTGAGAATTGGACAAGTTGATACACACGAGCCACTGTGCGCAGAACCTGGTGGCAGAAAACTCTTGGTGGCTGCTAGGTTCCACCTGCATCCCTCACTCCCCTGCCCATTCTGACCCCCTGGATCTCGGGGAGCAGAGAGGCCAGCTGCTGGCTCCTCAGCTCCCCTGTGCCCAGCTGGAAAGTCGAAATCCTGGTAAGCTCTGAGTTGGGGTTTTGCTTTCTTCTTTATATTTTTATTTTTATTCCATATTCTATAACAAGGAAACATTTTCATTATAATAAAGAAAACATTTTACCACATGCAGAACCACATGCAGAAATATGTTAGAGAGTTGTTACAAGTCTAGTCTGAGAATAAAGCTTTTGTCTATTCTTATTTCAAATGGATACCTCAGGAGCAAAAGAGTTGGGGAGAAACAGCTCCCCCAAATTTTTTACCTTTTCCTTTGACCACTGGAGATCCCACATACCCTTCTGACCACTTGGCCTCTCCACAGCCCTTTCACTGTACCCCCTAAGCAAAGCACCTTGCTCCGGCCGCAGGCAGGATCGCCAAGGAGGACAGGTGTAAAAGCTCACAGTCTATCTTCATCAGCTTGTCAGACAGGAACATCTGGTCAGTTTAGTCAGTTCCTCATATTTCTTTTGCCCCCATGTGACTTGTTGTCCAAAACAACCTTTCTGACTTAAGCTTAAACTCCCCTGGAGGCCTGATGACCTGCAGTCATTTCACGGAAGGGGTAGATCTTCAGGGAGTCGGCATTGCCTCCTCGCAGGTGTTCAGAACATTGTAGAAGCTCAGTATTCTCAAAAAGGAAATATTTTCTTCCCTTCAGAAAATGAATGGACATCACCTCCAAACTCCCCTAAATCGTCATCATATCTTAAGTTAAACTTGTTCTTCACAAGTACTTAGTGCCCTTTGGTGCCCCTCTGACAGTGGAGAAAGGAAGGGGGTGGGCAGCTTCCCTGTGTGACCCAGGTGCATGGCTCCGGATGTGCCTGGTTTCACCCGTTTGTGTATAAACATAGCGTGGGAACATTTGCTTCCCACCCTCTCTGTGTTAGAGCGTCTTAATGGATTTCATTCACTTGGCAATTCTGATGGCTTGTGACTTGTTAACCCAGGATTGTGCCCCTTTCTTTGATGGGAATGGCGGTACCTGTGCTGTCAGGCTGACCAGAGATTTTTGTTTGTTTTCCCTCAAAGCATCAACGACAGCTTTCTTTGCCACTCACCCAGTCTAAGTCATCTCCCAAGAGAGGATTTTTCAGGGAAGAAACAGATCATTTAATTAAAAACCTTCTGGGCAAGAGAATTAGCAAACTAATTAATTCTTCTGATGAGCTGCAAGACAACTTTCGAGAGTTCTATGACAGCTGGCATAGCAAGCCCACCGACTACCACGGTCTGTTGTTGCCTCACATCGAGGGGCCAGAAATCAGAGTCTGGGCCCAGCGCTACTTGCGTTGGATTCCAGAAGCCCAAATTCTGGGTGGTGGCACAGTGGCCACCATGAGCAAACTCTTGGAAATGATGGAGGAAGTACAGAGCTTACAAGAGAAAATCGACGAGCGACACCACCACCAGGAGGCCCTCCAGGGAGAGGCCCGGTCTCTGCTGAGGAACTCTGTCCGCCTGTCCTCTCTGTTTCCTTTTGCTTTGCTGCAGCGACATTCCTCTAAGCCTGTCTTGCCCACCAGTGGTTGGAAAACTTTAGGAGATGAAGACGATCTGGCCAAACGAGAGGATGAGTTTGTGGATCTAGGGGATGTATGACCTGTCTGTTCAGTGATTGTGAAAGAGGTATCTTGAAGACTGGGACAGGAGTCCAACACTTTGACACACTGACCTCTGGACTGGTGTGTCACACTGAAGCCCACTGCTGGGAGGGAGGGCCATTAGTTAGCCCAGAGCTCTGGAGGAGGAAACCTGGGCCTTTAGGAAAAGAGCTGGTTCTCTTTTCTTTTTTTTTCCTCTCATGGTCCTGAAAGACTATGCAATTAAAACCATGTCTCTAGTATTATTAAGTGAAAGGATTACTACTTGACCCATCACAGAATTGCAGCAGTTGTCTGATGCACAAGTGTTATACAGAATCTGCATTAGCTGGTTTACTCTACTAAAAAGGGCTTTGGTAAGATATTCTTGGACTCATTTCTTTCTTCAGATCCTGCCAGTGCCAAGATAATTTATCCAGTCCCTGGGAATAGTCAGTGTTTTTCTAACCCATCTCACTTCGGAGCAAGTTCAGCCTTATTTAATGTGTATATGGCAAATGAAAGGATTCGGATCCAGGTATTGAGATGTGTGGCATTCACTTAAACCACAGCATTTTTTCTTTCTGCATCCTCTTGCCTGTAGAAAGCTGGAGAAATCCCGCCCGTGTCACCCATCCTGACATTTCAGACCACACGCCCTCCTGCACAGGCCGTGTGGGAGTGCTGGGCTAGCCAGCCACACCACCCTTGACCAGGTGCCGCTGTCTGCAGGTCCCTGCCTGCTCCATACCACGCCCACCGTCCCTCCATGCTGCCTGCCTTCGGTGCCCATGGTTCCCGGGTCTTGCTGCTAAACCTGGTGGTTAAACTGGGGACTCTCTTTGGTCTGCTCAGAGGAGCTTCCACTCTTCTGGAGGCTCTCAGTGTTTGCAGGTAACTGCTTTGCCTTTTCCAGTAGCATGTTGAGGCCTCGGAGCATTTGTGACCGTGGTCCCCTGCGGCAGCCCCTCAGATGGTTTCCCCATATTCTCTGTCACCTGACAGACAGATGAGGATCACTTGTGAATGTGGCTTTCATAGGGAAGCTGTTAAGCATAAATATCAGAAGTGATGGTTATCACATAGTACCTCAGCGATTTAAAAAAGCCATAGAAGAAAGTTAACTGTGTCTGGTAACCTTCTTACATCTGCTGTCCAAATGATCTATATTTTTAAATGCAGGAATGTACACTTCATAAGGACCAGTTTTTTCATTCTCAATGGAACCCTGTTAAATCCCACTAAAGGAAGGGGAAGGGGAAGGGGAAAAAATCTAATGTTAGAATGTTTCAAATTGAATGTTTGCCTTTAATATACATTTACTCTCCAGTATATATCCCAATATAAATAGTACACGTTTAGAAAAACTTTAGTTGCTTGAGGGCAATAAGAAACTTTGAAACTATTGACAAAGAAGAGTTTCTCAGTTTGCACTGAATCGTCTTTTGTACGTACTAGAGACTGCTTCGCCACCCCCACTCCATGTGGACACGAGCCAGGTTGGTCTGTGAAGATGACCAGAGGCCGAGGGGAGGGCAGGATTCATGCACTGGGGGCCAAGCACACATCCAGTCTCAGTTGCCTTAAGAGTCTCACTAGGGAGGTCAGTGTTAGGCTTGCAATAGGGATTTAAAAAATACACTAGTTCATTAGCTGCCTTCACATATGCTCTGTGGGCCTTCTTAAACTAGCACTAACCTCCACTTCTCACATTGCCTCCCAAATACACTATGGAGCTAACTATTTTTGTTGCCGTATTATAACGTGAATGGTTATACAGTGGCCTCTTCAGTCTTAGGATCTTAGTAATTTTCATTCAGAAATGCCCGGTGTAATGCTTTACACTTCACAAGGATGGTTTAAAGGCACAAGTTCATGGCCCTTGTCATAGCAGTTGAATGTGCATTGAAATATTTTTCTATGACTTAAAAAAATTATAATAGAAAAATAAGCTGTTATAACATGGAAGGTCATGACAATTTATGTATTTATATTTGAAATCAGATTTTTATAAACTTGTATTTGTGTACAGAATTCTCAGTGGGTTTATATATTGTGACATTTTTATTCAAGATTAAAATGTGGGTTATGCTTAACAGTTAAAGCAGAAATGAGACCATTTGCTTTGTTTAAAATGCTGCACTGTGCAAATTTGGAAATGTACATTAATTTACTGTATATAATATCTCGAGTTTGTTTATACCTCCAAGTTTTTACACTGAAGATAAATTAGCTTTAATTACACTTAAAACTTTTTTTTTTTTAAGGGAATAAGCTGTTGGGCTAAATCTGTATAAATGTGCTTTTTATTTTCTGGATGTTCAATGAAAGTTTATACTTGTATCTCACTGCATCGTATCTGATTGCAGAAATTAAAGCACAATTTACCAGCAATACTGTATTCAGTGTGGTTGATAAAACATGGAATAATTTTGCTCATTCTTTGTGAGTGTGTGTGAGTGAGTGTGTGTGTGTTGGGTTGGTTGGTTGGAGGTGGTGGAAAATCAATAACCAAATAAATATTTAAATTTCAATTGGTGATAAAATGCTATGACAAAAAATAAAATAGGTAGGAGGCCTATTGGAGTGACTAAAGGAAACAGCGTTACAAATCCCTGAAATAAATATCGCTGCCTCCTCACTTTTGCGTGGTGTGAAATGAGAACTGTGCTTCATCGCTGGCTGAGTTCCGAGCTCAGTTCAGCCATGCAGGGAAAAGGCTGTTTTCCGTCCAGAGAAGGTACCCGAGCAGGGCCTCGGACACCTGCTGGATTAAGACCTGCCCCTCGTGTTGGCTGGGAGAAGTTCCATTGCTCTGACCTGCCCTACCTGCAGCCCTCTTGCTTTGAGTCAGGACGAGCGGTCCCCTCCCCTCCCATCACAAAGCCGGCTCTGAGACCTCCCTGGAGCTTGATAAGCCCTCCTTGCTGCTGTGTTCTTCTCACACACTTCAGTTCTTTGATGTTTGCATTCCCAAAGAGTAGTTAGGACCCCGTGGATCAGCAGGTTCTGTCTGATTTTCACATGGGTGTAACGGCTTCTGGACTCTTGGTGGACTGGCCGTCTCCCGAGTTTCTCGTTCCCTGGTTTCCAGGAGAGGGTGGTGGGAGGGGTGCAAACAGAGGGGCATCTCCCATCTAACTTGACACAGATGGTTGGGGGCGCTCCGACTGAGAACAGACTCCTGGCCCTGGTGCTTTCCCGTGTCACCTCTAGTCCCGGGAGGGGAGTTGGGCAGGGCGAGCCTGGACTACAGCCTGTTTTCCAAACCCCTTCTGTGTTGTGGTCAGTGCTGCTCAATAAGAGAAGGTCTCCTTTGCCATGCTGATGCCCCTCTGTGCTCTTGAGCATTTATAAAGCCAGCCCTGGGGCAGGACAGGTGGACACTGAGCACCAAGGACCACCACCGCCATGCAGAGACAACCTCCCCAACACACACACACACACACACACACACACACACACACAATACCGTCCTTAAACTATTAGGATGGGGGTGGGATTGTGCTGTGGATTCCAGTGTAACCAGGGTGTGTCCCAGTGCTTATACATGAGTGTGTTGGTGACCAGGCCAGCGGTGGGGAATGCAACGTCACTGTTTTAAATGTTATTTCTATGCTGAAGAGGAAAGCCATTTGTCGGTGTGGTAGTTTTGTGTCTTTAAAAATACAGACATCGCCCGGCCAGTGTGGCTCAGTGGATTGAGCATCTTCCCATGCACTGAGAGTTCCCGGTTCAATTCCTGTTCAGGGCACATGCCCAGGTTGTAGGATCAGTCCCCAGTAGGGGGCGTGCAGGAGACAGCCAATTGATGTTTCTCTCTCACATCAATGTTTCTATCCCCTCCCTTCCTCTCTATAAAAAAATCAATAATAAAACATTTAAAAAATATAAACAGACATGATTGGCCTATTTTGTGGTCCAAGCCTAGGTTCTTTCTTTTTTTTGCCTTTTTCCCTTTTCTGTTTAACCCTCCTGGTACACTACCTGCCTTTGGTAGTGAAAGGGTATGAAGAATATGATCATCTGGAAATACGTACAGTATGCTTTTGACCTTTTAAGGAAAACTTCCCAGTTGTGCTAGCCAGTCCAGTTTTGTTAAGCAGTTACTTCTTTAAAAGATTTAGAATTGAGTATTACTTTTATAAAAAGGCTGTGTGGCTCTTTTTATTCATTTATTTTCTAATCCTGAATGGAGGACTTTTCAAATGCTCTTCACAGAGGCATGGGCCAGGTGAGTGTCAGCTTACTGATCCCAGCACTGAGGGCTCCATTCACACCTTTTTTGGGCTGGGAAGGAATGCAGACGGACCATATTACATCCCTCAGACTGGCCTGCGGACCTGGGTTTGGCCGCTGCTGCAGTAGCCCCAGAGTCGAACACAGCCTATGCCCAAACTAGGGTGGAAAACAGTCAACAGAGATTGCCTTGGGTGGGGGTAGAGGTGTGGGAGGCAGAGATGCTGGGAAGGGGCATTAAGGAATGTTCTGGAATGATGGTAACACTCTATATCTTGATAAGGGTTTAGGTTATAAAGGTGTCTGCCAAAACTCAGCATAAGTACATTTAAAATGTGTTTTTCATTGTATTTAAAGTGTACATTAAAAGAAAACTAGGCATCCCAGCCAGTGTAGCTCAGTTGGTTGAGCATCATCCCATGCATCGAGAGGTTGCTGGTTCAATTCCTGGTCAGGGCACATGCCCAGGTTGTGGGCCCGATTCCCAGTGCGGGGCATGCAGGAGGTGCCAATTGATGTTCTCTCTCATCAATGTTTCCATCTCTCTTCCTCTGCCTTCTTCTCTCTCTAAAATCAATAAAGAAAAACAAAAACAAACAAAAAAAGAAAACCTCTCCTTCTCACAGAAGAATGCAGGAGAGGAGGGGGAAGGGAAGGGGCAGATGAGGATGAGGAGTAAGAGACCACTTAGTGAAAATCATCCTGAAGTTAGAGCAGCAGGAAGGAGGGAAAAGAAGAGTATAAGCAGAAAGCCAGCCGTTGGGATTTAATTGCCAGGTACCTCCGGTGAATTGTGGAAAAGTCATAATATAGAAAGGGGGAGCCTCTTAGAGTTGATCTGTACCAGGATATCTGGCAGGGGAATTTTTTAAAAAACTTACGGACAGAGGGGTATATAAGGCAGAGACCGCCCACCCCACTGGCTCTTCAGATTAGCCGAGAGCCCGTCTGTGCTCGCTTTACTTCATTAATAAATGTGCATGCTTTAACTTTTTAATTCACTTGCTTTAATGTTTTAATAAATACACTTCACAATGCAGTCAAGGTCTCTCCTATAAATTCATTTACATGAGAAGACAAGGAGTGAGGTTGGGGACAGCCAGCTGTTCAGGGGGCTGTCCGTCAACACCTCTCTGGTGCCTGTTGCAGGGCCACTTCCAGTGGCTCTTCATGGGCGCTCTGAGGTTCTCCAGTTTTGTAACAGTATGGATGTCAAGTTTTGACACTTCTCTAAATTAGCTCTGGCGCTGGCTCCTGACAGGCTGTGCAGTGTAGTGGTTAAGGAGCTGGGTTCTCTGGAGCCAGACAGCCTGAGTCAACCTTCTGCAAATCGCCAACTGTGGGACTTGGGCAAAGGAGTTAACATCCCTCAGTCTCAGTTTTCTCATCTGCAAAATGGCAACATTCATAGAACCCACTGCACTGGAGTATTAGAGGGTTAAAGATGAGTCCTTTGATGTACCTATCACATAGTAAATGCTTAATATATGTTAGCTATTACAGAGTATGTATGGTGATTTATTTATTTTTTTATTTTCTTATCCTCACCCAAGGACATTTTTGCATTTATCTTCAGAGTGGGAGGGAGGGAGGGAGGAGGAGAGAAAGAGAAACATCGATGTGAGGGAGACACATCGAATGGTTGCCACCCACACGACCCCAACCGGGACGGGGGACAAACTGCAACCGAGGTAGTGACTGAACCCAGGACTCTGGTCCATGCGCCAATGCTCTAACTGCTGAGCCAAACTGGCCAGGGCTGTACAGTCATTTAAATACTTAATGTAAACAGAGGAGTGTCTGTGTATAAATGAACTTTAATCTCCACCCCAGGACCAGTTAGCACTTGAAATACTCTGAACAGAAATCCAGGTTCCAAAGGTGGCTACATAAGCACTTTAGATGTTTTCAAAATCTACCTCAGAGGGTTTTTTGAGCAGCATGTGGGATGTTAATCATCTCTCAGTGGTGAAACGAGTACTGTACTTGGGGTATGTGGGTAGCTAGAAATATAGAGGCCCCATCCTCAGACCCACAGGATAAAAATATCCATCAGGCCCAGCAGTGTGAACACCTTGGAGCAGAGCACAGAGTCTAAAGACCTCATTGATCCCGTGACCTCCAAGTCATCTGACAAACCACAGGAGGAGCTGGTTCTGCTGTCTCATTGTGTCAGTCTTGGGAGTGAAACTTTCATGCAAGGTACCTGGTAGAGGACAGAGAGAGGGACTCCCCCACAACCTAAGAACAGGAAATATGATTTTGTGTGGTTAATGTGTACACATCTAGTAGACTCGATGCAAAGCTGCTTTTATTGTAAATGCCATCTGCAAGGTGGTTGTGATGATGGTGGCAGGGGGCTGCAGCCCCACTGACCTCTGACCTCCACAGCTGCTGGCATTTCCAAGAGGCATGGCACAGTGGCTGAATGGCCAAAGTGACAGGTCAATTCATGACCTCCCACCAGATTTACTTGAAATGCCATCGTTATAGTTAGATTTACAGGATATTCGACCACAGTTTTACATAGTTCATCTGGGGGACTCTGCCCTCATTGCTTAAAGTAGTTTGGGATAGGATATACGAAGTCCCCTGTGGCCGTTGGTCCATTGTTGCTGCCGCCAAGGAGTTCCTTGCCTAAGCTCTGAAAGTCTTAGTTTGATTCCCCCCAGGAATGACTCTGAGACAACGATTTGGGTGCAAGCAGTTCAGGATTTGACAGGTGATCCCAGGCAGCACTGTGAGAAGGGACAGAGGACGGGAAAGGAAAAACAATAAAGGGGGCACTGGCGAGCAAGTGGACCACGGGGCTCAACCCTGCTGGAGACCCTCTGGGAGAACAGGAATTCTCGGGTCGGCTGTTGATTATAACCTTGTCTTCATCTCGCCTTTCTCACCCAGCCCTTGGCCTGCGGCAGTTCCCCTAAGTCAGGTGGTGGGGTTCCAACACATTCTCGTGTAATAGCTGAGCATCAGGGAGGGCTTTGTGGGAGCCTCTTCAAGCCCATTCCTCACTAATGCTTTTGGCTCCATGCTCTCCTACCTCAAGAGAAATTCCCTGATTTCTCCCCCAACTCCAAATGTGGGCCTGCCTGTGCTTCCGTCTTTATGAGAGGTTCGATTTCTGTAGCCCCAGTGCCTGT